GTTGCGCTTGCGGGGGTTGAGGTTTGGCTCTTTGGTCCTGCCTCTCAACTGTCAATCAGGTGGTGTACAGATTCCTGAGCCTATTGGGCTCTATCGTTGACTTTTTTCACATTACCCTCCCCTACCTCCAAATTACCCCTCCCCCTCCAACCTCCTCTATGGTTTCCTCACCCTATCTGGATGTGTACCTTGACTTAGCAAAGCTTTTGATACAGTGCTACATAAAAGACTGATTAAAAAAATAGAGGCTCATGATATTGGGGGTGCTATATTAAGTTGGATTAGGGCATGGGTATTCCAAGGGAAACAGAGTTAGTATAAATGGGGTTAAGTCAGAGTGGGATAATGTTGTTAGTGGAGTACCTCAGAGCTCTGTCCTGGGACCTCTGTTGTTTATAATATATATAAATGATTTAGATTCAGGTTTGAGTAGCAACATCTGCAAATTTGCAGATGATACAAAAATCGGTAGGGAAATTAACACGGAAGACGACTCACTATCACTTCAAGTTGATCTAAATAGGGTTTTGAAATGGTTAAAAGATTGGCAGATGCAGTTTAATGCTGATAAATGTAAAGTACTGAGGCTAGGTAATGATAGAGTTACAAGATACGAGCTTGATGGTGTTGAGATTGCTTAGTCGGATTGCGAAAGGGATCTGGGAGTTATGATTAGTAAGAATTTAAAACAAAAGGATCAATGCATGAATGTTCGTAATAAGGCAAATAGGACATTGGGATTTATTAATCGAAGTGTTAGTAGCAAGACACCTGGTGTTGTTCTTCAGCTATATCTTGCCTTGGTTAGGCCCCATTTAGATTATGCGGTTCAATTTTGGTCGCCATGCTATAGAATGGATATAAATTCACTTGAACGTGTCTAGCGTAGGATGACTAAGTTAATTCCCCAAATTAGAAATCTTTCATATTAAGAAAGATTAACAAAGCTTAAGTTGCATTCACTGGAAAGGCGAAGAGTTAGGGGTGACATGATAAGGTTTACAAGTGGATGAATGGACATAACAAAGGGGATATTAATAGGGTATTAAAAGTATTAACACAAGACAGAACACGAAACGATGGATATAAATTGGATGAGTTTAGATTTAGGAAAGACTTGGGTAAATACTGGTTCGATAACAGGGTTGTTGATTTGTGGAACGAATTACCTCGTAACGTGGTGGAGGTGTGGTCCCTCGATTGTTTCAAGCATGGGTTGGACATGTTTATGAGTGGGATTGGGTGGTTATAGATAGGAGCGAGCCTCGTATGGGCCAATAGGCCTTCTGCAGTTACCTTGTTCTTATGTTGTTCTTCAGCTATATCTTGCTCTGGTTAGGCCCCATTTAGATTATGCAGTTCAGTTTTGGTCGCCATACTAGAGAATGGATATAAATTCACTTGAACGTGTCCAGCGTAGGGTGACAAAGTTAATTCCCCAAATTAGAAATCTTTCATATGAAGAAAGATTAACAAAGCTTAAGTTGCATTCACTGGAAAGGCGAAGAGTTAGGGGTGACATGACAGAGGTTTACAAGTGGATGAATGGACATAACAAAGGGGATATTAATAGGGTATTAAAAGTATTAACACAAGACAGAACACGAAACAATGGGTATAAATTGGATAAGTTTAGATTTAGGAAAGACTTGGGTAAATACTGGTTCGGTAACAGGGTTGTTGATTTGTGGAACGAATTACCTCGTAACGTGGTGGAGGTAGGTTCCCTCGATTGTTTCAAGCATGGGTTGGACAGGTATATGAGTGGGATTGGGTGGTTATAGATAGGAGCTGCCTCATATGGGCCAATAGGCCTTCTGCAGTTACCTTGTTCTTATGTTCGTATGGGCCAATAGGCATTCTGCAGTTACCTTTGTTCTTTTTCCTGTTACTATTCCCTCTACTGCACCTTACCTTGCATACCTTTTTGGCTTTCTCCTCACCTCTCTCTTGCGTATTTATTGCCTTCATCTCCTTCCCTCATCACTATCGACTTGAGAATGGTCCAGGACAGACCAAAACGTTGTTGAACCTTCATTTTCTAGTGTGTGGATTGGTCAACACCTAGTTGTACAGGTCCACTTAGTTGTGCTTGCAGGGGTTGAGATTTGGCTCTTTGATCCTGCCTCAACTGTCAATCAACCGGTATGTATTCACCTAGTTGTACTCACCTAATTGTGCTTGCAGGGATTGAGTTTTGTCTCTTTGGTCCCGCCTCTCAACTGTCAATCAACTGGTGTACAGATTCCTGAGCCTACTGGGCTCTATGGTATGTATTCCATATTTGTATTGTTGTATTCACCTAGTTGTGCTTGCAGGGGTTGTACTCTGCTGTTTTGGCCCACTCTCTCAATTGTCAATCAAAGATCTTTTTTTTTTGTTTATTTTTTTATTTTTTTCTTAACACACACACATGAGATTATGGTAAGAGCAGACAAAGATAAATCTCGATTGTTGGTACTGAGGGGCTTCAACTTTAAGGCAATAGACTGGGAGGCCTACAAGACAAGAACAGAGGACATTTGGCAGAGTTGTAAACCTCATTTTGGAGACATGTATTAACATGTCAAGCAGGCCACAAGAATGAAGGAAGAGGATGTTCCGACAGTACTGGATCTAATATTCATCAGGAAAGAAGGGGGTATTTGACATCCAGTACCTTCCTCCCTTGGGGAAAGAGTAATCATGGCTAAGCAAGGAAGTAAATGAGATGTATGCCAAATTTTGCAAAATATACAATGAAGGCACACAAATATTCATACCAAAACAGATGCAGACCTACCTGCTTGATGGGGTTCTGGGAGTTCTTCTGCCCGAGGCCAGGCTCAACTTGTGAGAGTTTGGTCCACCAGGCTGTTGCTTGGAGTGGCCCACATACCCACCACAGCCCGGCTGATCCGGAACTTCTCTTATAAAACAGTTCAGTTTTCTCTTGAAGATGTCCACGGTTGTTCCTGCAATATTTCTGATGCTCGCTGGGAGGACGTTGAACAACCGCAGACCTCTGATGTTTATAGTGTTCTCTGATTGTGCCTATGGCACCTCTGCTCTTCACTGGTTCTATTCTGCATTTTCTTCCATATCGTTCACTCCAGTACATTGTTATTTTACTGTGTAGATTTGGGACTTGACCCTCCAGTATTTTCCATGTGTATATTATTTGGTATCTCTCTCGTCTCCTTTCTAGAGAGTACATTTGGAGAGCTTTGAGACGGTCCCAATAATTTAGGTGTTTTATCTTGTCTATGCGTGCTGTGTATGTTCTCTGTATTCCCTCTATTTCAGCAATCTCTCCTGCTCTGAAGGGAGAAGTGAGTACTGAGCAGTACTCGAGACGGGACAACACAAGTGACTTGAAGAGTACAACCATTGTGATGGGATCCCTGGATTTGAAAGTTCTCGTAATCCATCCTATCATTTTTCTGGCTGACGCAATATTTGCTTGGTTATGCTCCCTAAACGTTAGATCGTCGGACATCATTATTCCCTTGACATGCTGTTTTCCTACTATGGGCAGATTCGATTGTGTTTTGTACCCTGTATTATGTTTCAGATCCTCCTTTTTGCCGTAGCTCGTAGCTGAAATTTATCACTGTTAAACATTCTGCTGAACAATCGAAAACTTTGTTGATATCTGCTTGTTTTTCAATGTCTTCAGCAGAGGTAATTTTCATGCTGATTTCTTTCTAACGTCTCTGTGGCTCATCTGGGTACTAAGTTATATGCCGCTGACGATATCCTTTTGATGTTGGCCTCTGGGAACAGGTTCGGTGTGATATCGACCCCCAGATCTTTCTATTTGACTCTTGTCAAACTCTGTGTGGGAGTTTTGTCGCTTAAGACTGTCTCCCATTGAATGGTTGCAAAGTCTACATTTATTTTTTCCCAGTCGATCCTCTTATTGTTGAAATTGATTTGATTGAATACTCCTTCTCGCTTATTGGGTCTCTTAGACCTAGTACCGTTATTTATGCTAGTTTGCACTTCAATGAGCTTATGGTCTGAGTATGTAGTATATGAGATTGTAATGTCTCTGATTAGTTTATCATTGTTTGTGAATAACAAGTCTAGTGTGTTTTCGTTCCTAGTTGGTTCTGTAATCTGTTGATTGAGCGAGAATTTGGGACTTGATTTGTCACAGAATCTCAAAAGTTCTCTTGACCTGTGGTTGGTTATTTCCCGGTTCATTCCCTGATATGATATTTGTGTTTACCATTCTCCATCTTAGACTTGGTAAATTGAAATCTCCAAGGAAGATAATATCTGGAGCTGGGTTCATTAGATTATCAAGGATGTTCTCTATTTTGTGCATCTGCTCTGTGAATTCCTCAAACGTTGTATCCGGCGGTTTATATATTAGAATAATAATTAGGTTTATTTTTGAATGTTTGCAAATATGAATGATTGTCCATATTGTTTGTCACTTCTGGAAGGTTTTGGTAGTTCCAGTTTGGTAGTTTTTTCTCCCTCTCTACCAGAGGGTGGTAGTCTCTGTGTAGTTGGGGGGTGTAGTATGTATGAGCTTGATGACAAACCGCAGTCCAGTCTCGGGCATTTCCCCCTCTCCATTCATACTCCTGCAACGTTTGTGCCTATCTGTTTCTGTCTGCCTCTAAAAAATTTCCAGGGCTATTATATTGGACTTCCTCTCTTATATAGCACTGTGTACCTCTGACATGGAAATCAGGGCAATGAAGATCATAGCAAATATGATCTTCATGATCATATATTTGTCTAACATAGGTTAGACAAATATATGAATGATATTGGGTGGATATAAATAGGAGCTGCCTCTTATGGGCCAATAGGCCTTCTGCAGTTACCTTCATTCTTATGTTTTTAATTAATATTAAAAGGAGATGGAGGCTATACAGTACAGTTTAATTTTTTGTTGGTTGATAAATATGTGAAATAGATTTAATATATTAATATAAGTACACAGTATAAATCTGAAAGGTATTGAATGTATTTAAATTGATTAATAACATATTTAATTGCAGGAATGCCCAATGGTATTTCAAATGGCACTTCAGAGCATCGTGAGCATAAAGATCATAAGCATAAACACAAAGACAAGGATCGAGATCGGGAGAAGGACCGCCACCGTGACAAAGATCGCCACAAGAGTTCCCATAAGGATAAGGACAGGGATAAAGACAGACATTCGTCATCCAGTCATAAAAGCTCTCACAAGGATAGGGACCGTGACAAGGAACGCAGCAAGGATAAGGAACAGAGTGACAAAGAGAAACATAAAGAGAAAGAGAAAGAAAGAACTGACAAAGAAAAAAGCAGAGATAAGGACAAAGAAAGGAATGATAAAGACAAACACAGAGATAAAGACAAAGAAAAAAGTGACAAGGACAAACATCGTGACAAAGACAGAGATAAACATAGAGATAAGGACAAAGAACGTAGTGATCGGGAAAAATCTCGCGATAAAGACAAGGATCGTCACCGTGACGAGAAGAAGCACAGCAGCAGTAATGGCGAGAAAAAGGAGCGTGACAAAGAACGTGATAAAGATCGTCACTCTTCCTCCAGTCACAGAAGTTTGCACAAGGAAAAAGATAGGGACCGTGATAGGCACAAGGACAAAGAGAAGAGTCGGGACAAAGAAAAGGAGAAGGTACGTAAAAGAGGTGCATTTGTCCTATTAAAGTTTTTTTAAGATTTGCCACATAAAACCTGATATAATGAATTTTTTATCTATATAAAAAATGTTTAAATTTTTTTTTATTTTTTATCTTTTATCTTTTTTATAGCCTCCAGTTATTGCATTTTTTTATAAATATATTTCAATAGATAGTCAAACTATAAACCATAGTAAATAGGTAAATGTCCTGTATTGGTATGCATGTTTTTTAGAAAGGCAGCCTCAGCAGCTACCTAAGCTCAGTACTTGTTTAGCCAAGCCTTAGTTAGATACTTTGTTTCCAAAACCCACTCATGTCTGCCAAAAGCCAGGGCCAGAATCTGGCATTCACTGAGGAGAGGGGGAGCATAACATGTGGATGTAAGGCACCACAGATGACTTGGCCTAATTTCTGAATTACCAGTACTAGTGTTGGATCCTTTTGTTTTAGGGGAGGATCCATTGGCAGACTTGACATTGGTGTTGGAGCCTGATCTTTCCTTCAATGTTTGTCCCTTGGGTTTGTGGGACAGTATGAAGGCCACTCCTTTTGGAGTGGGGGGGGGGTGGTGTTCAGGTGTTGGGTGTTGTCTCTTCTGAGTGAGATGGTTCCAGGAGTTTAGGGTTACATAAGGATGTAACCCTAAACCCTAATACAGTGGGTCTACTTTAACCTAATTTGGGCAGTGGTGTTAAAACCTAAGGGGTTATCATCATTCAGTAAAGGATTCCTTTTCAAGGCTTCCTTCTCGTTGACTTTGGCTTCTGGTAGTCATGTTAGTAAACGTGATGCTCTCACTACTAGAGGTTGTGGACAGGAATGGTGTTCTTTGCAGATTACTTGCACTTCTTAGGCCATTGTTCTCTCCCTTTAATCCCATTTCCTTGGTTCCTTGTTCCAAGTCTAGGCTTCCTCATGGTTATGTTTGGGGATTTGACTTGGCCAGCCTGGTGTATACCCATACACACATTTACACAAGTAAGCTGCTATTACTGCTTTCTTTTCCAACATGTTATGAGTTAATATTCTGGCATTCTAGCAGTGTTGACTCCTTATTACCTTTTGGATATTTCCCATCCTCACTGGACCTGTAATTACCTTAGTGTAGTTACAGGATGAGAGCTACGCTCGTGGTGTCCCGTCTTTCCAGCACTCTTTGTCATATGCTTTGAAGCTATTGACGGTTTTGGCCTCCACCACCTTCACTTAACTTGTTCCAACTGTCTATCACTCTGTTTGCGAAAGTGAATTTTCTTATATTTCTTTGGCGTTTTTGTTTAGTTCGTTTAAATCTATGACCTCTTGTTTTTGAAGTTCCAGGTCTTAGGAATTCTTCCTTATCAATTTTATCATGGCACTTGGGTGGCTTTCTAAGCTCTCGTGTTTTTTTTTTTCCCCCAACGCCTTTGGTTTCTTGCCTCACCCCACTGATCAGCTCTATTTTTGTGTGTTCTTTTATTAAATCCCGCATCAAATGTGAAGTGTCCATTATTGGGAGGCCTCAGTAGTTTCTTGTACCCTCAAATTTTGCCTCTATCCTGTAGAGTTTGTAGCCAAAATGGCACTGCACTCCATCTAGCTCACTAACTAGGTGAGTGTTTGTTGATTACTGTGACTTTTTCTAAGTTTGGGTTAGTCTCCTTATCTTTTTGATACTTTCCCTGGTATTCTCTCTTGTTCTTTGGCTCTTCTGTTCTCAGGTTGAGAAGGGTGTATGCAATATACTAGTGTGTGTTGCTATAGTGAGTGTTGCACACACATTCTCATCCTCCCCTCCCTCCCCCATCTGGTGTGTTTATTGTGTGACAGTCATCATTTGCCTTGTAACTTTCAGGTATCTAATTTTTTTCAAGCAGTGGTTTCATTTTTTATGCCAATGATTTCTGAAGTGAAGTTTCTTAGTTTTGGGTAAATGTCAGATTTTTGCTTTTGTCTCATAGACCAAGCCAGATTCTGGTCCTGGCTTATGATGGATGAGTCTGACAGGTTGTTGCTTCTCCATAAGATACGGCTTTGGGGAGGTACTGATGGCCACACTAAAATGGGCGTTTTTAACATTACATTCAACACTTTTATTTTATATATTAAATGGTGATATATATGTGGCAATTCCCAAAAGCTGCCTCAAATTAGGGCTTTGATATTTATATAATGTAAATGTTTTGTTTAATTATAGGTGAAGATTGAGGTGAAGGAGGAAATTAAAGAGCCAGAGCCTGTTCTACAAGATGAATTGACCATTAAAGAGGAGCCAGTTGAGTCTGAGGAGGAGGACAAATTGGTGATAAATGAACCAGTAAAAGAAGAACCATTGGAGGATGAGGAAGATGACGTTCCCTTGGTGAGTAAATATATTTGGGAGCAGCTGGAGGGGAATGAGGAAAGAGGAGGAGGTTGATCCAATGGTGAGTGTCTATATTGTGTTGAGGTTTGTTGGAAGCTCCATGCCATCTAAGTTGTCCTTTGCACTTGTAAATTATTCTACATTCTTGGCACTATATCCTGGGAAATGGCTGTGTAAGTGCCATCAACTCCGTTCATTCTTCAAGTACTGTAATTATAGTTATTATTGGGGGTTACATAGTTTAGGTTTCTAGCATTTAGCTCATCAATGCATTTTAATTTACAGTACAGTAGAAGTTCATTTTCAGTTTTGTAGTTGGGATAAATTCTTTCTGCTTATGTAAAATAACTTCAAAGTATTTTTGCATAATAAGTTGATATTTTGTTTATAGGTCCTGATGTTTAAGTTTTGGCAATAGACTGGATAATTAGAAAAAAAGGCCTAAAAAAATATGAATGTACTGGTTCCTATCATAGTACAATCATTTGGTTGCTTTTTAACCCTCAAAGTGTGGCTATCATTAAAATGGTCATCCCTGATTGCAATTTGTTATTATTTTGGTCTGATAAACACCTCCAACACCTATCCAACTGGATAAACACATCCAAAGGATACCTGATCAACCAGGCTGTAATTCGTACGTCAGGCTGCGAGCAGCCACGTCCAACAGCCTGATTGATCAGTCCAGCTCCCAGGAGGTCTGGTCAACGACCGGCCCGCGGGGATGCTAAGCCCCGGAAGCACCTCAAGGTAAGGTCTGGGTAATGGTCAACCTTCATTCTGGCATTGGTGAGATTATACTGTTACGAGAACCAGGACCAAACAATATATATTAATTTATTTTCCAGATGGAAATATATATGAGAGAAGGAATCTGTATGGAGTAAAATAAATGCTTAAATACATAAAGGGCTATTTTGGAGCCCACCAGAAAAGGCAAATTTAAAAATTTAGTTTTTAATTTAGACTAAATTTAGTTTTTTTTAACAAAGGTCTCTGGGTGGGGCAACCTCCCCCTTCATCTACTATGGTTAAAATGAAGCATTTTAACCATAGTAGATGAAGGGGGAGGTTGCCCCACCTAGAGACCTTTGTTACAGCCAAAATGTATTTAAGCCAGACCAGAAAAGTGGTATTGCAACCACCTTATTGGTTAAGGTAAATCTTAGAAATGTGTATGATGTTGACCAGACCACACACTAGAAGGTGAAGGGACAACGATGTTTCGGTTCATCCTGGACCATTTTCAAGTCGATTGTGATGAGGAAGTAGATGCAGGCAATAAATAGGCTAGAGAGAGGTGAGGAGCGTAGTAGAGAAGAAAGTAGTAGGAATAAGAACTGTAGAGGGCCTATTGGCCCATACGAGGCAGCTCCTATTATAACCACCGAATGAGAAGGAGATAGTAATAGGAATAAGAAGAGGATAGTAAGGGAACGTAAAGAAAACAAAGAAAGAAAAGGAAAGAGAAAGAAAGATAAATGGAAGGGCAAGCTTATGTTAGGTCACGTTTGTTAGAAATATTAGAGCATTCAAGTATATACTGTGAAATGGAAGAATCCACAGCAACAAAGCCAGGACTCGAGTTCATGTTGGGTACATTGTGTATTAGAGCCGATTCAACAAGACGGCTTCTGTGTAGAGTAGAGGCAGGAAAGATTATTTTGGAGGAAGACCAATCAATAGAATGATTGGAATCCCTCACATGACAGAAGAGAGCATTGTTAGTGTCTGCAGACTTAACGCTCCTCTTGTGTTCTTTAAGTCTGTCATTCAGTGTACGGCCAGTTTTGCCAATGTATTGGAGAGGACAAGACGAACAGGAAATAGAGTAGACACCAGCAGCATTAGAAGCAGGAGGAGCAGTGTGAACTAGATTGCTACGAAGTGTGTTAGTTTGTCGAAAGGCAAGCTTTATGTCAAGAGGACAAAAGTTATTGGTAAAAGTTTTGAGTTCAGATATGAAGGGAAGGCATAGTACAGTGCTACTAGTGTTGGAAGCAGGTTTAGGATGAAAGAAATTGCATTTTGCTTGAGAGTGTTGAGTCAAATTAAGCCGCAGGCTCCACTCCTGGTGGTGCCCTTCCATTAATTCCTTTAAGTTTCCTTGTAAACCACAAGGGGGTTTCTATAAGCCATTGCTCCTCGTGCCTCTCTGAGGTGGCCAGATTCTGGCTCGTGGTCCCAGGTCGTTGAATTTTCTTAGATAATAATAACCAGAGATGTCAAATCTTGGTAATTATAGGAATTTATAAACAGAGCCCAATTATATATATATGTATCTATACAGTATTGAAAAATATCATTTCATGTAAGCTGTACATGAAATGATATTTCATATGGGTGGACGGTAGTGTGTGTCGTGTGGCATTAATCATGCTCTTAGGCGTTAACGATTGTTAGCATGTACAGTATACCGTACTGTCGGTCACTCATGGAACTTAAATTTATACATATACTTTTCCAAATGGGTGTAGTATGTAATCTAAAATAATACGTCTGAGGAAAATTTAATATTAGGCACCGAGCATTATGTATAGTACAATATATTTACAAAAGAAACGGAAAAATTAATCAATGCTGTCCACTTATTTCTGGAGGCTGACCCTCCAAAACTGCTTTTAAGCAAAAAACCATGTGTCTACATGACCATGCAAGGGATGTATGGCATCGTCATTACTGTCATAATGGTCCCCCCCCCTGTAAGATATGGTTTCTTGTGCAGAGCATATAAGTTGCAGTTTATTAAACTTCAAATTTACAGTATGCAAAAAGTTTAGTCTTGAAATATGGGATGTTAATCTGTTCCTTCAATACTTTATTGTTTCCATATTGGTGCATCTGTCCAAGACTTGGGAGTGAGAAATATCATAATGGTGTTTAGTCTGTATGTGGAATATGTAAAAGGAAGAACTTAGTTATATTTTTAAATTAGTAGCAAAATGTCTCATGCTATTAATTTACTGTAGAATAAAGCCCTCTGTTTGGAAATTCCATTTTGTTATGATTCATTGTAGCTAAATGTTTTGTTGTACTCTTTCAGTCTCACCGGAAACGTATAAAGGAGGAGGATGATGAAGATGATGACAAGCCCTTAGCCATTCGTAAAAAAGTGAAAACAGAACCTAAAGAGAAGAAAAGGAAAAAAATAAAAGAGGAAGACGATGAAGATGATTTCAAACCGGTAAGGATTGTTGTATTGCAGTCATAGTCGTCGTCATAAGATCATGAGGTGACTCTGGGCATGCTTTAATTTTTACTGAAGTTGTGGCAATATTTCTGAACTGAGGCCTATTAGCCTTTCGTCCAGTGGATATTTGGTGGTTAACGTGATGGGGAGTCCAAGGGCATGACCTAGTTTTCCTTTACTTCTTGAGGGTCTTGTGCCATGGCTACATGAGGCCTTGCCTTATGTCGTGAAGGATCTGTACTGCCATCCTGGTTTGTTTTGGATTCATATTGGGTCCTCCATAGCTGTGGTCTGCTGTCGCTTTGTGCAGAGATAGCAATATATTTTTTGTATTTGCCCCCTGGGATGTGCCACATTTTCCAGTAGTGTTTCTTAGCTCCCAAGATGTATGTCCTGGATTTCTGGAAATGCTCTATAATTTGGCAGCGATGTGTGTCAATGCACTTGACAACTTACTGTCAAGTGCATTGACTGATATTTGGATGTGTTACCAGGGTTGTTTTGTTTTGCTTGTTCTGGGTTTGTGCTGTGACACTCAAGATGGATCCCATGGTTCTCTTGGGTGCCCATAGAATCTTGTGGTTCCATTGGGTTGTGTCTGGGTCTCCCCAGGTTATGAAACAGCCATCGTCATTCTTTCTTTGACTTGATTCAGTCATTTGGTCCATAGGGAGTATTATAACTTTTTCTTATGCTAGTTGCACTTTGACAATAGATGGAGGGTGTTCTTTGTCAGGTTTCTTGACTTTTCCTTGGTTTTTCTAAGTGCTGTTCATACCTCGGGGACCCCTCTGGCTTTTTTGGAGTTTGATGTTTCTTGTATCTCAATACTGTCTCCTGATGCACCTGTCTCCTTTTTCTCTGGTTCAATTTTTAATGGAATTTTACCCAATGTTCCAGATATGTTTTTCTGAATTTTCTGGATACCTTGGTGTTATGTATCTTGCAAACATTTATTTTGCAGGAACAGATTGTGGTTAGTTGGCCTTTACATTGCTTGTTTTCCCACTTTCCTTTTGTGTGGTCCCACTTCTATTTCCATATCTGGCTGTTTTTTACATTTAATGGCATCTCATTCATCGCTTTGGTAAATTCCTTGCTTTTCTTATCTTTCTGACCAAGGCTGATGCCCTTAAGGCTAAGCATGCACCTGTTTTGAGTAAAGTAACTTTACTTTGGCTGTAACCCCTCGTTTTGGACAGTGCTGTTAATAGTTTTATCTTGAGGTGCCCAACATACATGGATTGGTTACCATGTCCTTGCACTGTACATGCACTGTTGCATGTCCAGTGCAAGGATATGCACATGTTGCAAGTTGCACTTCTTACCATGTACCATGCCCTACCACTGTCCCTCTCTGGATGCTGATTAGCATGCGTTAGCCTTTATCGTTCCAAGTCCCTTCACCTTTGGTTGGCTGGTTTCCCTGCACTATGTGGTGAGGCATGACTGTTCTCATGGTTAGTGCTGCCCTAGTACGACTAACAATGTCTTAATGAATGCAACCCACACAGAAAGGCATGTGGATATTACAATAAATCCCACAGCCTTGAAAAAAGAAATACAGTATACTTATGTACTCAGTTATGGGACAAAATTCTTGGAATACATTATTTAAAGAAGTGCAAAATATCCTTAGCACGTGAACTTTATATAAATAGAGGAAAAGCCTAGACAGATGACATCATACAGACTATAAAAATTAGACACACCTTCCCCACTATTCATGGGAGTTAGTAAAGAACTTACAAAAAACTTTTTGAACAGTCACACTTCAATCAAACATCACTAAGGTTGTTGAGAGGATGCTAAGAATCCAACTTACTGGTTATAATTCAGTTTAATACTGTTGTAGAGATTTGAAAGATCTTGTCTTTCATAATTGATTGCAACAAAATTAGAGGCATTTAAAACAAACCAAAATACAAGTGTTTTGTACACAAATTTTACAAAATTGTTTATTAAAAGTGACACTGGAATATTAGCCCATAAATTAAAACTTGGGGGGAATAACAAGTGAAGTAGGGAGATGGATTTAAAATTGTCTAACAAACAGTAACTCAGCCACAATACAGTGGGAAACTTGGTTTCTCAAGGTGTCCTCACACCATACTTATGAAAGACATGGACAGGACTGCACTCCAAAGTTTTGTGTCATATTTCGCTGACGACACTAAAATGAATATGAAGATTGCTTCGAGTTAAGATGCAGAATAAGTTCTATCAGATATTAAATGTCTAGTGAGCAATGGGAAAATATGACATTTAATGATGACAATTCCCATAACCTCTGTACAGGAAAAAATATAAAACTTTAAAAGAATTACAAGATGCAAGTCAAAGATCTTGGCATAATAATATCAGAAATCCCAATGTTTAGAAAACAGTAAAACAAACACCAATAGCCAAGAAAATAGAGGCTGGATAATGAGAGCATTCACTCTTAACCTCCCCTTTCAACACAGGTTAGATTTCAGAGCTGGAAGACGTTCAACGATCCTGTACTGCCCACATAGAAAGAAGTAAAGCACTTAAGAGTTATGGGAGATGAGAGAGATATAATACATATGCACTTCAAAAATAATGGAAGGTTAGGTTCTGTACCTGTACAGTAAAATCACCACCTACTGGATTGGGAGAGAAAATAGGAAATGAAAAAAATTAAATGAAAAGTTGGGGTGCCGTAAGCACAATTAGAGAATATAGTGTAAACATCTGAGACCCAAGACTTTTCAATCTCCCAAATATAAGCAATGTTACTGGAACAAAAGTAGAAGCTTTAAAGAAAGAGCTGAACAAGTTTCTGATTTACCAGATCATCCTGGCTGTGATGGCTACGTGGGTCTTTGGGCTATGAAGACAAACAACAAACCCGACAATCACCAGGGAAGGCTGGTCCAAGGCCAGAGGTGGGTGTAAAAGAATTCTCTATCACCTACAGGTAATCAGCAACTGAGGGTTCTATTTTGCTCTCAGATGTGCATGCCTTGCTGTTGGGGGGTTTACATGTTTTTTCTGGGCAGGACACTGCCTGTTCCTTGTGATAGTTGTTACTGTCTTGGTTTGGCCTGTGGCTTGTTTTGCTGGTCATTTCCTCTCCAGCTTGCTTTGCCCTTCTCATTTTGGTCATAGTGTTTTCATGTTCCTGGCATGAACTTTTGATTCTTGGTTCCATTTGCATTCTTTTATTGTGACTGGTTTGCCCCTAGTTAATGATTGGTTGCATTCGAATTCAGGTGTGCCTCGACATTGCTGCTGAGAAGCTGTTTAATTTTAAGTTGTTGGCTTTCAGTTAGGCTCCATGCTTCCTCGTGTTTGTGAACCCCTTGTTCATTTCCTCTGGATGTGTGTGTTTTTAGATGGGCCTTGTTTTCCCAACCTGCCTTCACTTGCCATTCTTATCTGTAGTCTTATTGCTTGTGTTCAGGGGCGAGTGTTTCATGCTGGACTCGGGGTTGGTGGCATCTTTGGACCATTATATGTGGCCCTTTGAATGTTCATTTTGGGTTAATGACTTTGGTTCTCTTGAAGATTTTGCCTTGGTGAGGCTTTTGATTACTATTAGTATCATGGTCAGTTTGTCAATATGTTTGGCTCCTTCTGCACTGACGGGTTGGGGTTCAGGTGGAGGTGGGGGTAGGGCATCTTCTGCTTTGGGGATTCTAGTTTTCTACCTACATTTTTTAAGCAGATATTTATTCTTCCCTGGCCCTTTCTCATCTTTGTAGTGTTTGATGTTAATTTCTTTCAGGTGGTTTTGATTTTCTTCGGATATGTTCGTTGGTAGCTAAACTGGCTTTCTAGATCGGAGTATCAAAATAATGGAAATCCGTATGTTTACGGTTAATCATTGGAAAATGGTTCAAGAATTTTGGTTTCTATTCTTTGGTGTCTTAGTGGAAGCCCTCCTTTCTAGGAGGGCTTCCCTCTGTTTTTCCCCAAGCTTTCCACCTGCAGTACTCCAAACCCAGTGACCACACTAGGCTCTAATCATGAGCACCTACTGGAGGCCAGGACCAGAATCTGCCCTACCCCCCTCTCCCCAATAGAGGTACCCTGTATAAGCATAAAGTAGGTGGGATAAAAGATGAACCACATTCCCAATAGTCAAAACCAACAATGATAGAATGCACCAAACAAACAATTGCTTGAAAAACATTTGCAACCCTGATTTAAGCTGCGTATTCATTCATAGTCTAGGTCCTGCGGCTAATCAGGTTCACATCCTTGTTACCTGATGGTAGTCCCTTAAACTCAGTCATCCTGGTTCCTCCTTCCTCTTCAGACACCACTTTTCTCAGAATGTTGGCCATCTCTTGGATTCTTTCCTGCATGGAGGCCAGTTTTTGTGTTTATTTTTATGCTGAAGAGCATTACAATTGTCTGTGCTCCCATCTTCCCCAGTATCTTAGCATCACCCTGCAAACATGTTCATATAATTCTGTATTCCTTCTGGTAGATCATTTAAGTAGACGATAAACATTACTGGTAACACTCCTCCAGCCTGATTACTGCCCTCATCTGTCTGTCAGTTAGAAAATATTTCATCTATGTCAGAAGTCTCCCTGTCACCCTTTTTTTTTTCTTGAAAACAAATGTCTTTTTTTTTCAAGTCCAGATAGACACTGTCAACCCAACCACATAGACACTGTCAACACAACCACCTCTTTCCTGTAGTATCTCTGTGGCTCTATCGTAAAAAGTGACTAGATTTGTTACACAGGATCTTCCTGTTTGAAAACCAGTGTCTGTCTGTTATTATGTCATTACTCTCTAGGTGTTCAACCCATTTATTTGGCTTTAACTATTGTTTCTAGTGTTTTGTCTACTATGCTTGTTAGTGATACGGGTCTAAATTTAGAGGTTCCTCTCGCCTACCATTTTTATAGATTGGTACAATGTTTGCCTTTTTCCATGTATAGTGGTACCTCAGCGTATGATTTTTTAATCCGTTCCCAGAGATGGTTCGTAAGCCGAATATTTGTAAACTGAAGCGAATTTCCCCATAAGAAATAATGTAAATTGAATTAATCCAGATAGACAGATAGACACTGTATCCTTTTAATTAATCCTTTCCAGACTCCCCAAAAAATTGGCTTCAAATTAAATTTTATACCTAATTCACCCAAATCTTCAGTACTACAGTATGTACAAGTTTTACTTACCTTTACTGATGACTCTTGTTGGTGTATGGAAGACAGTGAGGAGGGGGAAGAAGTAGAGATGTTAGTGTTTGGAAGAAGAGTTCCCTTCCATCAGGCAGTGATGACTTCTCTGGGGTACACTCTCTGACACGTTTTGCCTGCATACCACTAAGACCTGCTTGTTTTTCTCACTAAAAACTTGTCTAGCAACACTTGTTTTTCCCTACACTGTAACAGTTGTCTAAAGTGAGACATCACATTGTCATTAAAATGGTTAACACAATGGTCTGCTACAGCTTGATTTGGGTGACACTATTCAGCAAAACTTTGCAATTCTCCCCATACTGCACACATTTTCTTAATAAATGAGGAATAATCGTTTACCTGCTGGGTTGGGTTTTGTTGCGGTGTCTGTTTTGGTTCCTTTGGGGCTGTCCCTTCCACCACGCTTGCAATTACTGGGTTTGACCCCTGGGGGCCTTGTGTCGGCTGCTGTGTTGGCTGCTTCCTCTTCAGGCTTTTTGGGGTTCCTTGCCTTGGAACATTCTAGAGCTCTGCCTCGATGTGTTCATGGATGCCCTATCTCCAGGATAGTTCATGGATGCTCTCCAGGCCGGCCAGGGGTGGTGAGGTCCATCCTTCCATTCATGGATGCCCTATTTCACATGGATGCTCACCAGAGCGGCCAGGGGCGGTGGGCTCCATCCTTCCATTGGGCTCACAGCACACTGGGAATTTGAGGCAGTGTGGCTTATACTGCGTCGGACTCGACTCGCTCGGGGCTCCATGATCCAGCTTCATTTGGACTGTGCTCTGGTGGTTCATTACCTGAACCGCAGGGGGTCTCTGAGGTCCATGGCTCTTTGGGGCTTGTTGCCTTGAGTGGCTCTTTTGCTGAGAGCGTTTAGCTCTCCATGCGGTTCATATCTGGGGCATGGCCAACGTCCTGGCCGACGGCCTGTCACAGTTCATTCTGTTGAATGGATGGTCAATGCCTACTTGCTCAGTTGGCTCTGCCGGACATTCGGGCCACCGGAGGTGGGCCTCTTCGTGTCGGTGTGGTCGAGGCGTCTCCTCGTATATGTGGCACCCTTCCCTGACGGTGACGCCTTTGCGGTGGGTGCTTTTCGGCAGGACTGGTTGAGGTGGGTGTTACCTGTACCTCTTTTCCTCGATTCGGCTGTTGCTTCAGGTTCTGGCTCAGCTCGAGTCCTGTCGGGGGAGGGTTCTTCTTCTGGCCCCATGGTTTCAGGCGCTGCTTGTTCGGTGTCTGAACCCGGTGCGTTTTCCGCGGCTCTTCTTCTTGCGGCAGATTGGGCCTGTGAGGTATCATGCTGGTTTGTTCTACACACACTTCACGTCTGGAGTTTCTGACCCGGGTGTATCACCATCTGTATGGTGAATAGATGGCTTCTCTCATGGTGTCCCATCTGCAGTCTTCTTCTCGGCGATAGTATGAAGTCTTTTGGCGTTCTTTTTACCACTTCCTTTCCCTGTGTAGGTTGTCTTCGATCTCGGATATTGTTGTGTTGACATTTCTTTCTTGACTCTTTCAAGACAGGCATCTTATGCCAAATACCATCGCCTCGTATTATGCTGTGCTGGCGGAGCTACACCTTCTTGCGTTCGTGATGGATGTCACTTCAGCTCCGTTTTGCATTTGGACCACCTTCAGCCTTTTTCCACATCCAGGACCTTAGCCGTCCTGGTTGGACCAAGTACTCTCCATTGGCTTCCCCTCGGTTTGTGGTGTCCCCTTCAGTCCAGGACTGTTTCAATAAAGCTTTGTTCTTTTTGGCTTTGGCTTATGGGGGTCGAGTCGGGGAGCTTCATGCTCTCCGATGCAGAGGCTTTTGCTCTTTTGGTCCGGGTAGACATTTTGTTCATTTGCAGCCATCTCCTTTTCTTGCAAATAACGGGACAGTGGGCTTCCGGAGGGGTCTGTGGGTTATTGATGCTTTGTTGGTCAGGCCAGAGGGGTGCACTATGTTTTGTGTCCCGATGTGTCTTTACACCAATACCTGCGCTCCTCGGTTTCTGTGTCCAAGGACGTGCTTTGGGTTGACCCGGTTTCTCTTGTTCCCTGTTCCAGGGCTCGGGTCTTAGGTCGTCCGCAGGGCTATCAAGTCTAGCCAGCCTGTGGTCTACCCTCGTGCCCATAATGTTTGCAGGTGTGTAGCTTTGGCTGCTGTGTTTGGCAATATGTCTTGGGCGAATAATTGGGCACAGGGGTTTTGAAGATCGAACAGGGTCCTGGCTGCCCAGTATCTAGGTAATGTGCCGGGCCCTCAGTGGTCTTGTGTTACCTTGGGTTGACGGTTGCAGCCAGTTGTCTCATCTTTGTTATGGTGCAGCCGCCTCCCGGGTAGGTCCTTTATGTTTTCTCATTTGGGTTGTTAGCTCCAGGGAGCTGATGGAACTACCCCCACAGAAAACAGCATTGAATGTAATGAAATGCAATTTTCTGGGTAAAGCCCCGAAGGCTCTCTTGCACCCTCCTTTCACCCGGTTGGTGGGTTTTGTTTCCCTTTTTCAGCCTCCAAACAGATGGTCCGGCTGCCGGTTCGGTGGGCAGGGACCCCCCTCTCCCCCTCCTGTGATGACGTGTTACTTGTTTGCTTGTTTTTCTTTGGGGAAGTTTCTAGCCTTTGTTTGCTCTCAGGTTGCAATATTTTTACCAGGAGGGATTTCAAGCGCCTTCCTTTCTTGGTGCTCAACCCTGGTCGATGGCAGACATGAATACTGTCGTACATGAGTTTCATAGGTCATTGCTCCCTTCGTCTCTCTGAGGGGACCATATTCTTGGTAGTGGTCCCTAGTCGGCATGACAACTAATATTAGCTAATATCAGTCCAATAGCTCCAAGGAGCCGACGAGGCTTCCCCACAGAAAATGGCGTTTCATTACATTCAACACTGGTGTTTTGCAAGGTACTGTATATGTCTTATGATTTTGATTCTCATTGAACATGACAATTAAAGGTACTTATCATACCCATGTGACTTGTTGGGTTATGTAGATAAACTAGAGCATTAAGTTATGGAACTAAACTTTTAATCACAAAGACAATAATTTAATGTTTTTGATTAAATTAATTTTGAAATATTGTCATTGATTATTTAAATGGCATTCTTTATTTCTTATGAATTTAATTTTGGATGTTTGTTTCTTTTCATATAGGAGAAAAAGAAGGTTAAAAAAGAGAAAAAAGAGAAGAAACCCAAGTCTATTAAATTAAATACAAGCCAAGATTCACTTCCACAATCTCCTACCAAAAAAGGCAAAAAGGATGAGGAACCAGTTTGGAAGTGGTCTGTATAAATTACCTTTATTAATCCCCAGTAGGGAATACCATATTAGTTTTGTAGTGTATATTTTATTGTCTTATTTCCTCTTGGGACAGTTCATTGTAGTGACTTGGAACATAAAATTTTTACCAGTCTCCGTGGTGTAGTGGTAAGACACTCGCCTGGCGTTCCGCGACCGCTTTGTCATGGGTTCGTATTGGGGCCGGGGAGGATTTACTGGGCGCAAATCCTTAACTGTAGCCTCTGTTTAACTCAACAGTAAAATGGGTACTTGGTTGTAAAAACGATTCTTTGCGGCGAGGATCGTATTCCAAGGACCTGCCCAAAATGCTACGCATACTAGTGGCTGTACAAGAATGTAACAACTCTTGTATATATCTCAAAAAAAAAAAAAAAAAAAACTTCAGCCTGAGCTTGAAAGTATGGCTGCAAATAAACTAAGCATTGTATCCACAGCAATATTGGGTCATTCCATCATCATAGTTCCTAACCCGACCATCTCAGATTTACAAGAAATTTTATAGGATGTTAGAGTGAATGAAGTAACTTATATGCAAAATTTTAGTGCTCAGTGATGCATGATCTTCATACAGCAGGGCTGCCAATGTGATAAAAATACAACTTTCTGGGTTAAGCTCCAAGTGTCTCCCTAAAGCTATTATCTCTGATAGTGTGCCAAGATACCATCTGTTATGGAGTTATATCTACTACTAGATACCATCTGTTATGGAGTTATTTTTAGGCCTACCAGGGTCCACAAGCAAGAACCTGGCCCTCTCACTGAGGTACAGGTAATGATTCCAATATGATATAATTTCTTTGAAATTATTAATTTCTGCCACCATCAGGAAAGAAGCCAGAAAGTCAGCGAACAAAAACAGACCACTGCTGGTTTAAGCTAGCCTGCAGTCTCGAAAACTACCAAACTAACCTAACAATGTAAATAAATGATTGAAAATTCATGTAACAAGCATGAGCTTTGCAGTGAGTTGCAAAGAGGCCCCATCTGGAGCCCAAATCACATTTACATCAATGTGGTTTGGGCTCCTTCCTCTGTAGGTGGCCCCATTACCCCGATGATGAGACCCTTCACAGTAGATAAATTGGTCGAGGTGGGGTGTTCCTGGACCTCTTTTTCCTGGTCTGGCTGTTGCTATGGGTCCTGGCCGGGTTATCTTGAGATGATTTTGGGGCTTAGCATCCCCAGGAAGCAGCTGTCTAACTCCCAGGTATCTATTTATTGCTAGGTGAACAGGGCATCAGGGTGAAAGAAACTCGACCCATTTTTTTTTCTGCCTCTGCCAGGGATCGAACCTAGAACCTCAGAAAACCTGGAAATTTTCATAATTGAAAACCTTTAGATAATATTAATAAATCAGTATTCTGATAATATGACAAATTCCCTGAATACCCAAAATGGCCTTCAGATACTCAGGATAATTACCCAAATTTACTTTCCTTCTAATAAATTGTCTACTCTTGACTACTGTCTATAGACTACTGTTTATAAAGCCTCTACTGTTTTACCATCGAATTCCCACTTCTCGTCCTTGTATTTGCTGCCTCTCATTCAGCTTATAATTCAATTACAAGCAATTTATATTTTGTACTGTATTAATTTATATGAAAATTCCTTCTTATATTTCAGGTGGGAAGAGACCAAACGAGATGATGGACTCAAATGGACTTTCTTGGAACACAAAGGGCCATTGATGGCTGAAGCATATGTGCGGTTGCCAAGCAATGTCAAGTTTTATTATAATGGGGAACCAATGGAGCTCAGCGAGGAGACTGAGGAGGTCGCAGGGTTCTATGCTCGTATGTTAGATCATGAATATACCACCAAACAAGTTTTTAATACCAATTTCATGAGGGATTGGAGAAAGGTAATAATTTTTCCATATTATTAATTTTCTTCCTAAGATATTTGTCTTGACCTTTGGTTAGGATATCTCACAGTTAGACAAGATCAACATTCTGCACTTCAGTAGCAGGCTACTAAAGCCTGCTAGGAAAATACTGGAGGTTCCTCAATCCAATATGTGACATTTGTTTATTAAAAACATTAAAGCCTTCCAAGCATTTCTGGAGTCATAAGGAACACCAAAGATTATTCTTGCATGCTACTAAATGGCATACCATCCCTAACTGGCACCAGATGGCAGGACTGACACCATAGCAATCCCCTGGCTCCAGCACATCATAGCAGATCGTATACGCAGGCAGAGCACAGAGATATTCAGTAAAGTGACACTTTATCCTTAAGAACTTGGTGTTAAATTTGTGTGAAGATTTATGTTAGGTTATTGAATACTTGTCGTGTGAGGACAAGCGTTTCGTGGCTTGAATTAAACTTATCAGTTCTCCAAAGTTATCTTTGTGCCTGGTCAGTTCTTGCTTTCAGCATTAGTTATGGTTCCTTGGAATTTGTTGTGAAACATTGTTGATTATACTGTGCACATTTCTAGGGGGGGGGAGATAGTATATATTAAAGATAGGCCTAAGATAGTATATATTAAACCTAAGATTACTTGGACAGGTTAGGTTACACACAGAAAATCACTAATGTGATATACATCAATGAGAAAATCCACTGGGTCTGGTGAGGTGACGCGATCCCACGACCAAGGCATTGCCAGCCGCATGCTCTACCACTGCTGACTTGCATAGTGGTGGTACAGTAGTAGAGTATGCGGGTAGAAATATCTTGGTTGCAGATTCGTGTCGCCTCACAGCCCTAGGGGATTTTCTCAGGTTAGGTTAGGTTCTTTAGTTCATTTTATAACTTTTTAATACGTAATTTAGGATAAGTCAACTTTTTGGGTCCAACAGACCATTTTTGTATATTCATCAAATAGTTGTTGTAAGTACTACAGTATTATTTTAGGAGGATGGGCTGGAAGGTCTTTGAATTGAAATGTAATTGTTTTTGTTGTATATACTGGGTATATGGGAAGGAGTCAGCAGGTATCCTGTGCTAGGGGCTGGTTAAAACTGCAACTTCAAGAACAAGAGGATGTAGGTTCAAACTAAGGAAACAAAGCTGCCATAAAAAACCATTAGAAAATTAACTTTTTACAAACAGGGTGGTAGATGATTGGAAGAAGTTAAGCGAGAAGGTGGTGGAAACAGTCAATAGTTTCAAAGTGTCATATGACAGATTACTGGAAAGATGGGACACTATGAGTGTAGCCCCACTTAGGTAATTACACATACACGTACTACTAAATGGCTTCTGGAATTGATAAACAAGATCTCAATTTTGTAATAGCTCTAGCCTCTAGAGGAGAGGCTAGAGGTATTACATATGCCAAAACTAGAAGATAGGAGAAAAAGAGTAACATACAAAACCTTCATTACCTTCAAAATAGTTACAGGAATCAACAAAATTGGCAAATAAGAATTCTTGAAACCTACAACTTAAAGACCAAGAAGTCGTAGATTCAAACTATTGAAATAAATATAACCAAAAAAATATTAGAAAGTTATATTTGCAAACAGAGTGGTAGACGTTTGGAACAAGTTAAGTGAAAAGGTAGTGGGTGCCAAAACCTTCAGTTGTTTCATGTGTACAGGGAAGATATATGCAACAAGCACACAGCTCTTATCCTGCAACTACGCTTAGGTAATTACACATCATTAGAATAACCATTTTGTTCCAATACAGTTTTTTTTTGTAAGGTAGACAATTCTTAATGACAGTAAATAAAAAAGGTTATTGGTTGGTATGACATTCCAGAGCTGTTATTGACATTAAAATAATTGTTATTGTTTGTTACAGGTGATGACATCAAAAGAAAAGGAGATCATCACAGATTTGAAGAAATGTGACTTCCGCCGATTACACACTTTTTATGTACAACAGAACGAAGAAAGAAAAAATCGTACAAAAGAAGAGAGGAAAGCCCTCAAAGAAAAAAATGAAGCTCTGGTTGCTGAGTATGGATGGTGCAATATTGATGGTCACAAGCAACGGATTGGAAACTTTAAGATTGAACCTCCAGGATTGTTCCGGGGTCGTGGAGAGCATCCAAAACAGGGCATGCTGAAGAAGCGTATAATGCCAGAAGATGTGATCATCAACTGCTCAAGAGATTCTGTGATACCTAAACCACCTTCAGGACATAAATGGAAAGAAGTTAGTTATTTTAATTGTACATAATTATATCTTAGTTTATACGTATCCAAAATGGAAGTCTTAGTTTCAAACAGCAAAATTTATTAACAGTATTTAATGGTAAAAATAGTATTTATTTTTAATTTCGTAATGGGGACCAGAGAAGCTGGGGGCCCCCCACGTCTTAATTTCAAGCACACTAGGGGAAAGAAAGAGGAGGGAGGGCCTATATTCATTGTAAGGGGAGGATAAAGGAAATGCTTTACCCATTCAAAAGGGAGGTATGGGGAAGTCTGCTGTCTCTACCCCATTTATAGACTAGGGATATCTTGTTAATGATATTAGCTTATCTCCACTATGATAACATTTAGTCCCTTAGTGAGTGCCTTTCTCTTTCTACACATCAGAATACTTTTATAACAAAGGCAAGGTGTACAACATGTAAATTTGATTGATTTATTTTTCCCTTGCCTGAAGCTAATGATCAGCTTCAGGCATGTTGTTCGGTTGCGGCTCTTCGCTGTTCTCTATGCGTCTTAACCTCTGGGGCTGTGGACGCGTTTGGGTTTGCCCGTGTTCCCTTCCATCCTTCCTTCTGGTTCTGGGGTTTGTGGCTCCCGGGTCGTCTGCAAGGTTCTTTCGTTTTGTCTGTGGTCTTGTTTTTATGTTAGAGCGCATGGCGTCCGCCTCCCAGATCCTTCTCTCTTTTTCTTATCTGTGGTGAGGTAGCTCAGGGGAGCCGACAGGGCTTCCCCCAGAAAACCAGTGATGAATGTAATGAAACGTAATTTTCTGGGTGAGTCCCGGAGGCTCCCCGGCATCGCTCCCTCCCTCTCTCCCTCCCCCCGGTTGGCGGTGTTTTTCACCCTTTTTGACATCCATCCTAAGAAATGAAGGTTGGGTCACCGGCGGGTGGGTCTGCGCAGATAGCGGTGCAGCGACATGATGACGTCATGCTAGTTTGCTAATTTTCGTTTGGGGAATTCTGTTCACTTGTTCGGTCTTCGGTCGCAATAGGGAATTGCGAATAGGGAACAACCAGAATAGGGGTTGTTTTGGGGTGCCTACCTTTCTACCGGGCGCCTGTCCCGGTTGATGAATAGAATGCTTCCAACCACAGGGGGTCTCTATAGGCCATTGCTCCTCTGGCCTCTCTAGAGGGGAAGAGGGGGGCCAGGTTCTGGCTTGTGGCCCCTGGTAGACAAGAACTCCATGTATTGACTGATGCCAGAAAGATACACATATCCATTCAGCCTGGATAGCTCCGAGGAGCCTCTGGGACCCACCCAGAAAATGGCGTTTCATTACATTCAATGCTGGTTTTTTGAACTGCCAAAAAAATTCAACATTTAAAACCAAAATTTTGGGGAAAAATAATACGAGACGATGTATTTTACTACCGTCAATGATATTATTACCCCCTGCCTATCTATTTTTTGATCTTTTGAAGTGGAAAAAATATTTAATTACCAAAGGAGAGGAGGTGGTGGTAAAAGGGAGATAAAGCATGGGCACTGGTTTACCACCAACACACTTCCTCTTGTCATTTACAAGTAATTGTACTTGCCAGTTACAAGTAACTGACTTTTATAGTAGGAGAGGTTATAAAGGAGACTAGGTCATTTGTAACTTTGCATGTTCTCAAGTTGGTTACTCCTGTATTGAGCATAATTGCAAAATGAGGGTTAAGCTTTAATGCCTGCAAAAATATTCAAGGCATATTTTGTGTATACAGTAAGAGTGTAGGAGTTATTCACAAAGTTAAGAGTTTTACTAAAATGTAGGATTTATTTAAGAAAAACAGGTAAAGTAAAAGATAAAACGGATTGTTGAGGAGTATTATTTTTTCCCATATGCAATCTAATATTTTTTTTGTAACAATTTTTTAATTAATCTTGTGTATTCATTTATGTTTTATAATGTGTTTCCTTTAGGTGCGAGCAGACTGCACAGTGACTTGGTTGGCATGTTGGGTGGAGAATGTTCAAGGGCAGACAAAGTACGTAATGCTTAATGCAGCCTCTAAACTCAAAGGTGAAAAAGATTGGCAGAAATATGAGATGGCCCGAAAACTGCATCAGCATGTGGACAAGATTCGTGAACAGTATAGAGTAGATTGGAAGAGTAAAGAAATGCGAATACGACAAAGAGCTGTAGCTCTTTATTTCATTGATAAGGTAAAATTGCTCAATATATTTTGTAACAATTTGATGTAATAACTCTGCATTTGCTAATATGTAAAATATATCGTATAAAATTTTGTATTAATCTCAGTGAATGTATTTTTTACCAACAGTTAGCCCTTCGAGCAGGTAATGAGAAAGATGAAGATCAAGCAGATACAGTTGGTTGCTGTTCTCTTCGTGTCGAACACATCTCTCTTCATGAAGAAAAGGATGGCAAAGAATATGTTGTAGTCTTCGATTTCCTGGGTAAAGATTCTATCCGTTACTATAATGAAGTCAGCGTGGAAAGGAGGGTATTCAAGAACTTACAGCTATTTAAAGAAAACAAAGAAGATGGAAATGATCTCTTTGATCGTCTCAATGTAAGTCTTTGTGAATTTCATGAAGGTTATACACTAGTTTATTCTGTGACAGGAAAAGGCATGTAGATTTATCAAAATGTCCTGTTTATTTACTTTTATTGTACTTACCAGTATTTAAGAATTGACACAAATGTTTTAAAGGCTGGCAGCTTGTTTGAACTATGAGAGAATTAGATGTCTTAGTTGGGGTTATTTTATGGTTTCCATTTTTTCTATTAGCCTTTATGTCTGATTGTATAATTGTGCAAGGAAGATATCTGTTGTTATTGAACTATGTAATCCCTAGTGTTAGAATAATTCAAAGTTTTATACAATTAAAGGCATCCACCACTGTCTCTCATAACTTGTTCCAACCTTTACACTGCTTGCTAAAAGGAACATTCTGATAATTTTTTTGCGTACCTTTCTTTATCTTGAATCTATGACCTATTGTTCTCGAAATTGCAGATTTCAGAATGCCTTTGTCAAGTTTGTTGATTCTTATTACTATTTTGTACAGAATGATCATATTGCATCTTTTTCATCTATCTTCTAGCTTTAGCATCATTAATACCTCTAGCTTCTTCTTGTAGCTTTGTCTTTTCAGTTTCAGGTGCCATTTAGCTGCATGTCATTGCACCTTTTCAGTTTATTGAGGTGTGGCAATATACAACTGCAGCATATTCCAATTTTGGTCTCATAAAAGTCGTAAGCAGTTTCCTTAATATTTCGCATCCATGTATTTAAGTGATGCTGAAGTTGGAGAGCATAGCACAGACTCTTCACAGTGTCCTTTGTGTGGTCTTCTGGTTAGAATTTGCTATCCAGAAACCCCACCCATTCCAGATCTTTTTCCTTGTCCAAGTTGTTTAATACTTTTTCACATAATCTGTAGGGGTGTGTGGGATATTTGCCTCTATTCCACATTCCATAATAATACATTTATTCACTCTGAATTCCATCATTCACGTGTTTCTTTATACACTTATTTTGTCCAGGTCATCTTTTAAGGCATTACCATCGTCTGTCTCATTTTCGCTAGTAACTTGATATCATCAGCAAACATGTTCATATTCATTCTGGTAGATCATTTATATAGACATTGAACGTTATTGGTACTAGAACTAAACCTTGTGGTACACCATTAGTAACATTTCTCCAGTATGATAAATTGCTTCTTGATTGCTGCCCTCATTTTTCTGTCGGAAAAATTTTCATTTGTGTCAAACAATTCCTGTCACCCCTCCAGTATGTACCAACTTTCAGAATAACCACTTGTGTGGGATGCTGTCAGCAAACCATTTCATGATGTATGAGCTAATTTTGATCAATTTGAGTTAAAACTAATGTAGATATATGACCAAACCTAACCAACCCTACCTATCCTATCTTAACCTAACCTAAACAAACACAACTAAGTCAATAATTTATGATCTTAATATAACATAATAATAATAATAATTGAAATAAACTAATTGGAAACAGTATATTGAGAATAAAGAAAATCGCTCGGCCTATTAGGCAAATCGGGCCTTGCATATTACGCCGAAAAATGCGTTCTAGGTATATATATTTATTTATATTTATATATGCGAAAATCCACAAAGAAATATGAAATGAGGTGAACGTTTCAGCTCTGTTAAAGCCTTTGTCAACACTAGACTGACTTCAGTCAGTCTGGTATTGACAAAGGCTTTAACAGAGCCGAAACGTTCACCTCATTTCATATTTCTTTGTGGATTTCCACATAAAATGATCAGTGTTTTGTGATCGTCAATTGCATGCATATGCATGCATATATATATATATATATATATATATATATATATATATATATATATATATATATATATATATATATATATATATATATATATATATATATATATATATATATATATATATATATATATATATATATATATATATATATATATATATATATATATATATATATATATATATATATATATATATATATATATATATATATATATATATATATATATATATATATATATATATATATATATATATATATATATATATATATATATATATATATATATATATATATATATATATATATATATATATATATATATATATATATATATATATATATATATATATATATATATATATATATATATATATATATATATATATATATATATATATATATATATATATATATATATATATATATATATATATATATATTATACATACATACATAAATACATACATACACACTTTATACTGTGTACTTTATTGATTTTTTAATATTACTAAATCTAAACTAAATATATACCAATCTAAACCTTATCATTATTATCTGACTCCCAGTTCTCATTACAGCCCTCCCTGAGATGCATTCTCAGGGATGCATCTTTTTATTGCCCATGTTTAAAATATGTCCTGTAGACTTATTAAAATAGGGAACATCAATAGGATTTATGTTTCTGCAAATAAGGATATCCATATTTTTGTAATACTAATGTACAGTTTTGGTATTTTTCAGGTATAAATTAAATTGTTTTGTTAGTAATGTAGACCTTTATAAAAATTATTTGTTTTAATAATGTTTTTTGCTGTATTTCATTATCTTTTCCAGACACAAATCCTAAATAAACATTTGAATGAACTGATGGATGGCCTAACTGCAAAGGTCTTCCGTACATACAATGCTTCACGGACCCTACAAGAGCAGCTAGACTTACTTACAACTGAAGATGATCCACTTCCTGCAAAAATTTTATCATACAACAGAGCAAATCGAGCAGTGGCTGTCTTGTGTAACCATCAACGTGCAGCCCCCAAGACCTTTGATAAATCAATGGCAAATTTGCAGAAGAAAATTGATGATAAGAAAGAACAGTGTGAGGAGGCTGAGAGGGAATGTAAACAGTTGAAAAAAGCAGCAAAATCAGGTGGCTCACAAAAAGAAAAGATGGCTTATGAGAAAAAAAAGAAGGCTCTGGAACGTTTGAAGGAACAATTGGAGAAACTGGAACTCTCAGCAACAGACAAGGAAGAAAACAAGACTATTGCTTTAGGTACTTCCAAGCTCAACTATTTGGATCCTCGTATCTCTGTTGCATGGTGCAAGAAATATGGAGTACCAATAGAAAAAGTTTACAATAAAACACAAAGGCAGAAGTTCCAGTGGGCAATTGATATGGCAACTGCAGAGTATAACTTTATGGGAGAACCAATGAACATTTCTAGGAACGATGATGGTGAAGGTGAAGAGGAGGAAGATGAGTAGGCAGTCTTATTCAGAAACTCGCTGAGAATGACCAAAGAGGATATTTTGGTAATGTGCAGAGTAAAGATGTATTCTTGGAGTGGTGTTGTACATTCTCATTCATAATTTAAATTAAGATCCATTGTGCTCCTCTGTTTGTAGTCTCACTAGCTTATAGTGAAGAGAAAGCAAACCTGGACAGAACACAAAGGATTAATTATAGGATTGTATTTTATTGCGGTTCAATTGTGTACCTTGAATATTTATTACACAATTCCATAAATTAAGTATTTGTATGTAGTTTTGCTATGCTAAACTATTTTGCGTGTATGAATTAATTTTTCTATTAAGAGTATAGGTCTGGAAATATTCACAAAAATAATACGGTTTTTACTAGACATTTGAGACTTCCGGCCCTGTGGGTTGATCAGTTTGTACTTGTAATTTGTGTGTAAAGAATTATTTGATATAATGTATTCTTAAATCACATATTATTTTATATGCATTGTCATGTATAGAGATGTAGTAAATATGCACCTTAACATTGAATTTTAAAGCCAAATTGTTAAATAGCAAAAATTCTCCAAAGAATCTCTGGTCGAAAGGGAGAGTTGTTACCCGAATGTGCAATCTGCAGCAGTGAACATCTTCATGGTCTCATGCCACTCCATAATCAAATTTTTTGGTATTAAAGTGTTTTATTATCACAATACCCAAAGACTCTAATGATCTTAAACAGATTTAATTCTGTGATTGTAATTTTTAATATTTTAATTACAGTACAGTACTTTGGTCTTATTGCTGAAGGGCAACAGCTGAATTTCATGACTAATGGGCAATGAAGTCCTTTTGATCACCTCATTCGAGTCTTTACTTGAACTTTTAAGTAAGAGGCCAACTCATAGCCTAAATAAGTCACCATTAATATTAAACACTGGTGCAGTTTTTATGTTAAATTATTATATGTAGGCACTGAAATTTAAATTACTAAAGGGTGCCATATTAAGTAATGCTCTGGACTTGACCCAGGTAACATGGGTTTGACTCTTTGACCTGGAAGGGTTGGCGAGACATTATTTACTGTGTAACAGATAGGTCCCTTTTCTTTGTCAGGGTTCCAGGCTAGCTAATTCAGGAGATGCCACCCTACTTTTTTAATCTTGTTTTATAGAATTGACTAGGATTTAGTTAGAAGGTTGTGTTGGGCAGCTGGTGGCACAGGCCATATGGCTGTTTCCTGCATTCCCTGGTGGCTGTCAATTAGAATAGCTTTTTAAGAATATTTAAGTTATGATCGGTGTAACTTTTTGGTAGAATTTATGGAATTTGACTGTGTTAGTTGATGCACCAGTGGGACATTAAGTACATCTGAGGTCATGATGTAGGCAACTTACGTTGTGAACAATATTCACAATAAACCAGCATGTATAGACCTTTGCAGGAAACTAACGGGACCCTTCAAGCAGACAAGTATTATTAAAGTATTATTCCGGACCTTGTTATGACTTCACTGAAATTGGTTAATGTAAAATCATCATGGTCTGTATTTTGCCATCTTTAAGAACTCGAGCTAGATCTTCCCAGTTCAGCTGGCCATTCCATACCATTGTGTGATATGCACCGTGTACATAATTATTATCATCAATAAACCTTCATCATGGGAGTTTTGTGTCTAGTAGCTTATTGAACCTTAATTTATACCATTACTGATAACATGTATACTATAGAAATGTACCTAATGAAAGAATCCCATTGTGGGTATTGCCCACCACCTATTCGCTATAATGGATGGGTTGATTGATTGATGAAGATTAAGCCACCCAAGAGGTGGCACGGGCATGAATAGCCCGTAAGTGGTACAATTTTTTTTTTTCTCAGTAGTCTGAGTTTGCATTTAACCATCAAGCTGTTATCGCGGGGGAGGATACTGCTTCACAGTCTTTATGAGGGTGTCCAGCTAATGGATGGGTGAGGATGATCGCCATTTATAGGTGGTAGTCAGGTGAGGATGGTCGCCAGGATGAGTGGTGACCACGTGAGGATGGTTACCTTACCTTGAGGTGTTTTCGGGGCTTAGTGTTCCCACGGCCCGGTCGTCGATCAGGCCTCCTTGTTGCTGGACTGGTCAACCTGCGATTTCATACGCAGCCTGACATGAGTTACAGCCTGGTTGATAAGGTATCCTTTGGAGGTGCTTGTCAAATTCTCTTAAACAGTGAGGGATCAACCAGTTATGCCCCTTATGTGTAATGGAAGAGTGTTGAACCATCACGGGTCTCTGATGTTGATAGAGTTCTCTCAGAGTCACACAGAAATCACAATAGCATGATGCATCCTAGATGTGTCTGAGATGCTCTCGGACGTAGGTTCGAATCCTCGTCACGGCCCTTGTGGATTTGTTCATTTGATGCATCACGCTATTGTGATTTCTGTGTGTAATGAAGTAAGGGTGAAGAGATAGAACGGCCTATTGACATAGCTCGAGTGCATGGGGGGAATTGTGTAAAATCCTGGTTTGTGCCTCTGAGAGGCTGCAGGATCCAAGTAAATTCAGTAGAATTTCTGGTTGCAGCCCCTCTACTATTTTCCATGTGTAAATTATTATGGATCTCCCGCCTGCACTCGAGAATACAGATTTAGGCATTCCAGTCGGTTTCAATAGTTTAGATGCTCGAGTGCATGTGGAAATTGTGTAAAATTCTGGTACCTGGTTGATGGGGTTCTGGGAGTTGTTCTACTCCCCAAGCCCGGCCCGAGTTTGTGCCTTTCCTGGTTTGTGCCTCTGAGAGGCTGCATGATCCAAGTATATTCAGTAGAACTTCTGGTTGCAAACTTATACCATGTCGTAGCTCAGTCGATTAAGGCTGCGTCTGGGATGCTCTCGGACATAGGTTCGAATCTGGGTATTGATTGATTCTGGGTATTGATCAATGCATAAATGTTCGTAATAAGGCAAATCGGACACTTGGATTTATTAATCGCAGCGTTAGTAACAAGACACCTGGTGTGGTTCTCAAGCTATATCTTGCTCTAGTTAGGCCCCATTTAGATTATGCAGTTCAGTTTTGGTCGCCATATTATAGAATGGATATAAATTCACTTGAACGTGTCCAGCGTAGGATGACTAAGTTAATTCCCCAAATTAGAAATCTTTCATATGAAGAAAGATTAACAAAGCTTAAGTTGCATTCACTGGAAAGGCGAAGAGTTAGGGGTGACATGATAGAGGTTTACAAGTGGATGAATGGACATAACCGGGGGGATATTAATAGGGTATTAAAAGTATCAACACAGGACAGAACACGAAACAATGGATATAAATTGGATAAGTTTAGATTTAGGAAAGACTTGGGTAAATACTGGTTCAGTAACAGGGTTGTTGATTTGTGGAACCAATTGCCGCGTAACATTGTGGAGGTGGGGTCCCTCGATTGTTTCAAGCACGGGTTGGACAAGTATATGAGTGGGATTGGGTGGTTATAGAATAGGAGCTGCCTCGTATGGGCCAATAGGCCTTCTGCAGTTACCTTTGTTCTTATGTTCTTATGTTCTTATTCTGCACATCCTGCCATGCCACCTGGTGTTATGTGGTGGTATTTCTGGGTGCGGGTTTGGGACCAGCCCCTCTACTATTTTCCATGTGTAAATTATTATGTATCTCCCGCCTGCACTCGAGAATACAGATTTAGGCATTTCAGTCGGTTCCAATAGTTTAGATGTTTAACTGAGTGAATTCTAGCAGTAAAGGATCTCTGCACGCTCTCCAGCTTGAAAAGGGGCTGTCATTGTGCAGCAGTATTCCACTCTAAAGAGCACTAGCGTCTCTAAGAGTATCATCTTTGGTATAGCATCTCTAGTTTGAAAAGTAATTGTTATCCAACCAATATATTTATTCCGTAGCGCAAGAGCTGGAACTCATCTTTATTAAATAAGAACTTAAGAACAAAGGTAACTGCAGAAGGCCTATTGGCCCATACGAGGCAGCTCCTATCTATAACCACCCTATCCCACTCATATACATGTCCAACCCGCGCTTGAAACAATCGAGGGACCCCACCTCCACTACAATTCAATTTCTTTCTTTATTATGCACCCCATACCCATCCCGTGGGCGGTGGTGTAAAGGATTACAGAGGCACATAATCGGCTCAGGAACTGAACCCTCTAGTTCGTTTATCTAAGCAAATAAAAATTTGTTGATGCTAGTTACAAAATTATTAATGTAATATATACATGTACACATTCTCATACATACATGTACATATATATATACGTATGCATATATATACATATATATTTGATCACCCATACAAATACACACATCAATAATCTTTTGTGTCACAAGTAATCAACAAGAGGCTCACAACAGTCACTATACAAGGCACTTTATATCAATGGTGAGTCACAGTTACTAGTCTTGCTGCACACCCACTCAACTGGGCGGCAGCTTTACAGTCATGTGCATGCATTACCTACAGTAAGCAAATTTTGGATACTTCGCTAAGATTTCGGGCAGCACATCATTATGAATGAAGTACTTACACATTTCTTGGACACTATTGATGGTGTTATCTCTAAATTCCGCGATTTTTTCACATTCCATTATATAATGACGCAAAGTATGAGAATAGTTCTGCTGACAGTTTACATTTAGTCAGATCTACTTCAGTAGATGTTACAGACTCCCAAAGGTACTTGTAGCCGAGCCTAATCCTAGCAGTGGTAACATTTAGAATTCTGCAACATTATTGGATGACCCATAGACCTGCGGTTCTTCCTGCATAATAGAATGATGATAGATGGAGTAACTGGTGTGAATTTCATTTTGCCTCTAATCTCCGAAATTTAGTTGATGTTCCTGGGATATTGCTGCCCTCAGGCTGCTCAAAGGCAGTCAAAGTTGGTAATCTTGGTAATGTTGGTAACCCTCGTTACGAGCAAAAGTCTTGCCAACTCATCAATTCTATCATGCATTCGGAGACCAATATGGGAAGGAATCCACAGGAGACAAACTCTAACTCCATCATTGATTATTTCATTATATCTGTGTCAAGCTTCAGAGATAAGCACGTCAGAGTTATGCCTTAGGGAGCTGAGGGCAGTCAAGGATGACAAGGAGTCACTTACAATTAGCGTGTCAACTTTGGATTCATATACGCGCTCGAGTGCAAGGATTATGGCAACCAATTCTGTTTGAAGAGTGGAGGCCCAGTTACTTAGACGCTCTCCACACTCATGGGAGAGGACGGGAGACATCTCCCGTCACGCAGGGTGCAGTCGCACCTCCACAGATCTCCCCAATCTATTGATACTGGTAATGGCTCAAAAGAGCCACCACTTACGGGCTATTCATGCCCGTGCCACCTTTTGGGTGGCTTAATCTTCATCAATCAATCAATCATGGGAGAAGGAACCATCTCTCCCTGTCACAGCAACTGCACTTCCAGCTGCGCCATACGACTGATGCAAGGATCCATCAGTGTAAATAATCTGGGAAAGGGAGCGCTCTCTGACTAAAGCATCAATTTGGCTTAAGGCATTGTACTTTGCTTCTTGTCGAAGCAAGGCTCGTTCTTTAATCGGCTTCTTGGGTGGGAAAGGGGGGACAGTAATTAGAAAAGGAGTGATCTGCCATGGGGGCAGGAAAGTGTTGTTGTTGTCTCTCTTGGTAGGGGTGATGAAAGTTATACATTCTGAGCATATTGGCAGTTTCGGTAATCCATTTGGAGGGATACTGACCTTCAAGGAAGAGGGCTTCAGTGCAGGGGTTAGGGTGGGTTAGCCTAAGCATCTTGATACCAATTAAAACATTAATTTCAGTGATACGATCACTTACACATGGAATATTCAGTTCCTTCCTCATGTTTAGTAATTTAGTTGTACGGGGGCATCCGAGGATTATCCTCAGGGCTTCGTTTTGCATCTTTTCCAGCCCTCCAAGCATTCTCTCAGGCACTAGAGCAAGCATGGGTGCAGCATAATCAGAGACATAATATATGAGAGATCCATCATTTTGACAATTCTCAGATTTGCACCATAGCTTGGATGGTAGCCTACCACAGCCTTGAGAGCACGGAGCCTCTCTCTACATTGGCGACCCAGTCTGGCTACAACATTGCACAGTGGTACAGTGGAACTTCAAGACCAAGGTATTTGTATCTGGTTACATAGTCGAGCAGAGAGCCATCATGCAACTGCATTTTGCGAACGGCCCCACGCCGTCTGGGTGGGCGTCGGTTCAGGATCTTTGTTCCTGACATGTGTGCAATACAGAGTTCAGAACATTTTGGGTGTTGGTATACCCATTGGTATGGATCAGTATATCATCCGCATAGCTAATGATGTGTTCGCTGGACCTTCTGGTTACTGAGTTTAAAAGTGCATGATTAACACATTGAACAGAGTAGGACTGAGGACACCTCCCTGTGGAGTGCCAAGTTCAAAATCTCTCGTTAAACTTTGGGACCGTTACGAGGAAAAAAACCTTTTGACACTGTCAACCACCAAAACCTTCTTAAATTACATCATTATGGAGTCAGAGGACACTCCCTGCAATACCTCAAATCCTACCTTACTGACAGGCTCCAGTATGTTTCTGTGAATAATTCAATTTCTCCCACCCTACCCATCAACATTGGTGTTCCTCAGGGCAGCATACTTGGCCCTCTCCTCTTTCTCATCTACATTAATGACCTTCCAAATGCCTCCCAACACCTCAAACCAATTCTATTTGCTGACGACACAACCTTCATTTACTCCAGTCCTGACCTCCTTGCTCTAAATGCCACAGTAAATACTGAGCTAAATAAAGTCCATCTTTGGATAACTGCCAACAAACTCACCCTTAACATTGACAAAATTTTCTATATTCTGTTTGGCAATAAATCCTCTAATCAAATAAATCTCAAAATAAACAATACCCAAATTTGTAACAAATTAGATGGCAAATTCCCTGGCATTCTCATTGACCACAAGCTGAATTTCCAGGGACACATTCTAAATATATAAAAAAAATTAAAAACTGTTGGCATACTTTCTAAGATCAGATATTATGTACCCCGCCCTGCCCTGGTGACTCTATTACTATCTATCCATATCTCAACTATGGTATTTGTGCTTGGGGCTCTACTACCCGAAATCATTTACGTCCTCTAATTACTCAACACAAAGCTGCTATTAGGACAATATCCAACTCTGGCCCCAGACATCACTCGGTACCCCTACTCAAATCTCTGAATATGTTAGACATTAAGTCACTGCACATTCTCTCATGTGTATTATACATGCTAAACGCTATAAAACGCTATATACACTTATATATAACGCTATAAACACTTACGCTATATACACTTATATAGCTAAAACACGCTATATACACTTATATATAACGCTATAAACGCTTATATAAAACGCTAAACTGTAATGCCAATCCTGACCTCAAAAGCTTCATAGAAGGTTGTAACAGAACCCATGAGCACCACACCAGAAATAAATACAGTTTTGATATTCCTAGAGTACGACTTAATCAAACTAGAAATGCTCTACAAATCAAGGGACCCAGATTGTGGAATGACCTTCCCAACCATGTTAAAGACTGTACTTCTCTCAACAAGTTTAAGATAAAAACGAAGCTCTACCTAATAAATTCTCTGTAACCTACCTTACCCCTCTATTGTCAACCAATGTCTGTTTTTTTTTAAAGAGCGCTGTTTGTCGACAGAATTGTATTTGTGCTGCTTTTTCAGCTATGTTTTCATTCCATGTTTTCATTTTACTCTTCATGCTCAATTAGTATTAAGCTTTAGTCATTTAAGTTTTTCATGCCCGAAACGCTTTGCGTAATAGTGGCTTTAGGCATTACTGTATATGTACTAGCCCTATCTATAAATCCATCACTCTTTGTAAAATCTCTTGTATGTACCTTACCTAAATAAACATTTGATTTGATTTGATTTGAGATAAGCACCTCACAGTTCCTCAAGGAATGTTCGCGTTTTATCCCAGGAAGTGCCTGAACTAGAATTAGAAAACAGCAGTCTGTTTACTGGTTGTTATTTTACTTAAGTTAGTTGTACATGATAATGTAAAAATAGCCACTGAGGTCTGATTAAGACTTTATGACCATGTAATCTATGTTTTGCTCCACTACTTACTGGTTGAGTATGGGGTGCATAACAAATAATAGCCTCCTTCGGCGGTGCCTTGTTTCTAAATGTGTTTCAAACTCACACTGTACCTTGTGCTACCCACTCCGTCAACTCAAACTTTGCTACAATGTACCTCGTAATATGTGTTACATACTCTCATAACCCAATGTGCCTTCTTGTATATAAATAAATAGATTTCAATTGTAAGGGGTATGGTTTGCACCTTGTTTTTCTAATAATAGAAACCTCCCCCCTTAACTTGACCCATTCCACGTGCTATATAGTCTTAATGTCTTGGCGTTTTCCCTCTGATAGTTCTCTTCCCTTCCCTTCTCTGAGTTCGCTTTGTTAACAAACATAGTAATACACAGTAATACAAACAGTGCGCTAAGCACTGTTAGTAATGGAAGCGCTGTTAATGTATAAAAGAATACATACATAGCAGATTTGCAATCTTGTAAAGCCACTATCAAATTACAATTAAATTTAAAATTTAAAAAAATAACAGGGTAAGATTATATTTATGAGTAAAATTTTACTGAGGCACTGACACTGAGGTAGATTCTTACATATATACTAAATCTGCTGTAGTTAGAGAATTATATGATCAAGTGCTATGTATTTATTCAGAAAAATACATAGCACTTGATCATATAGCGAAACAGCAGCGAACACAAACCAGCGCATGTACGAACGAAAGGGTATGAATGTATAAAATTCTCAGTGAACAAAGTTGTTATCCGAAACTGCCGTCGACGCCCTGACCAGTCCCCTGTGTGTTGTACCCGGTGGCGCGCACTATGAGAGAAGACCAGAGAAGGGAACATCATATCTGCTTATAGAGAGTATACCAACAGTTTTTCAGACTTTTTTTCACTGTTTTATGTGGGTTCTGAAGCTTAGTCTCTTGTCAATGTAAAGACGAAGGAACTTATAGTATTTATTGCTAATACTGTCTTATCTGAAACTAGAAATGCAGTTGTGTTTTGCCAATGAGTAACTGCACGTGTGTTGTGACTGGAGTCGGAACATACAGATGTTTGCCCAACATAGAACCTATTGTAGTCTTTACAAGGTATTTTAAAAATGACACAATTCTCACTACGAGTTCTGTTTCTAACTAATAACTTACCAACAGTATTCTCGTAACTAAACAATACCTGTATACACCTACCCTTCACACCCAACTTTGTGCTGAAATGTGCACAAGTCTCCAAACTTGATAAATTAATTGCAGGTGACTCTTTATCATCATTAATTGCACTTCAACTCATTACGACCGGTAGAGGTTGGTTGGTGAGGCGCAGGCAGTGATCTGGTGCAGTGTAGACCGTTGACTGTGGTACTGGTACAGTGTCCTTCAGGTGTTGTGTGAGGTGGCTCCCCCTGTTGCACGTAGAGGGTACACTGTAGTGTTGGGTGTAGTACTGTGGTAGAGGGTACACTGTAGTGTTGGGTGTAGTACTGTGGTAGAGTGGTAAACTTCTGGCGTTCCGCGAGCGCTATGTCATGGGTTCGTATCCTGGCCGGGGAGGATTTATTGGGCGCAATTCCTTAACTGTAGCCTCTGTTTAACGCAACAGTAAAATGTGTACTTGGTTGTAACAACGATTCTTCGCGGCGGGGATCGTATTCCAGGGACTTGCCCGAAACGCTACGCGTACTAGTAGCTGTACAAGAATGTAACAACTCTTGTATATATCTCCAAAGAAAAAAAAAAAAATATGAAGTGTTGGGGATTTTCAGCCATAATTGCCAACTGCCAAAATGGTGTTGTTTTAAAATCTACCTGTTAAAGTTCATAAAGGCAAATGGGGAGGGCCTTTGACAAGTCGATGTCTTCCTGTCTTCGTTGAGGCCACTGATTTACCTGAGGGCCACTATTAGCCGCCCTCGGGTAAATTAGGTAAATTGTTCAATTTAAGATTTTATCGATATTTGACAGTCTGTTCCCAAAAAATTTTTGTTTCCCTGTGCCCGAGCACTCTGGGTTAGGGTGTGGTACACTGGCATGAAACAAAGCTTGTTTTCTAATCATAAAACTATTTATAACGGTAGGTTATTGTGTTAGCCTAGGTTGGGTTAGGATAGGTTTGGTTTTGCTAGGTTAGATTGGGTTTGGTTAGGCAAGATTAGATTTGCCTAAAAAGCTAAGTTAGGTTGGGGTTGACTAGGTTTGGTTGGGTTAGGTTAGGTTGCGTTGGGTTAGGTTAGGTTGCGTTGGGTTAGGTTAGGTTTGACTAGTTTAGGTTGGGTAAGATTAGGTTCATGTTGGGCTAGATAAGGTTGGTCAGTATGGCAGAGTAAAGTCGAATTCTGTGAAGTAAAATAAGCAGTTATCTTTATCATATAAAATTACATAAAATACCATTTATTAGAGTAGGTTCAATAAGCAAGAAAGTTATTAATTCCAACCACTCATTTATCAACATAGTGTTACAATACAGTGGGGGGCCTTGATTTACGATGGTAATCCATTCCCAGAAACGTATCGTAAGTCGAAACAATTTTTCCCCATAAGAAATAAAGGGAATTGAATTAATCCATTCCACACCCTCAAAAATATTAACTTAAAAATACATTTTATACTGCATACAATTTCTTTCTCTAACTACGATACAGTACAGATGTTTATCTTACCTTTATGGAGGACTCTTGATGGCATATGGAAGATGGTGAGGAGGGGGGAGGAGAAGTGTTACTGTTTGGAAGGGGAGTCTCCTTCCATTATAACATCAGGCAGTGAGGACTTCTCTGGGGTACACACACACTGGCACTGGCACGTTTTGCCTGGATACCACTAGGACCTGCTCCTGGCTCAATGCTTGATTTTTTCACTAGAAATCATTCCATTGAAGATTGTTTTTCCCTTCTTTCCAACACTTGTCTGTAGTGAGGCATCACATTGTCATTAAAAAGATCAATGCAATGGGCTGTTACAGCTTTATCTGGGTGATTCTTTTCAGCAAAACTTTGCAGTCCTTCCCATACTGCACACACTTTCATAATTAATGAGGAAGGGACATCCTCTAATGCTGCTGCCTCCTCCTCCTCTGAAGATTTATTGTACTGCCTAGCTAGTTCAACAACACGAGTACAGTACCATTTTTATGCTTGTGTATGATCTCTTGCTTTTCTTCTATGGTCATTCTTACATGTGTTTTCATATGTTGAACCTTACCACTGACACGATATGGGACCCATGGCATGATATATAATAATCGGTTTTATGTTCAAAAAGCAAAAAATCGCCACAAACACGGAATTTCTTATAGTTGTGATCGTCACTAAGCGGGCAGCTCTAGTAAACTGAGGCAGGTCGGCCTGCAATACTAGGAACCATGCGCTCGGTCGACCCAAACGTGTACCAACAAATATCGTTAGTCGACGACACTATCGTAAGTCGAGTCGCATTTTTCGATCAAATTTACATTGTGACTCGAAATTATCGTAAGTCGAGGTGCCACTGTATTTTTGAGCCTTGGTCTGTTCAGAAATAACATTGGAGGTTCAGCAACCAATGCATTAAATTTGTTCAACAGCTATTTAAAAATTAAGAAAAATTGCTAACAATATTTTTCTCTTCCAGTCTTGCCTATAGGAGTACCTTCACTGATCATTATGAATACATTTGAAAATGTGCCAATTGGCACTTCAGAAGCTGAAGAGGAGGATAATACCACGAGTCCTGTTTGTCTCGTTGTAACATCTGGAGCCTCGCACAACTCGGGTAAAAGGATCGTTGTCTTTAGCAGCTCCTCTCGATGTAACACCATAAATGGTTGTATTTAATATTTCACATACGAGAGTCGGTACACAGGATATTGGCAACGCCAGGCTGTCGCCCCTTAACATTTAACAAATCTCGCCTATCGAGTGTTAATTGTCACAGGTTGAGTGGAGGCTGATAATTGGGTAATTGGATTATTGGAGCCATGAACATAGTGATTGTCTTGCATATATACAGTATCGGGAAAAAATATCATAACTGCATGAAACTTTTATAGTGGTTAATGATGAAGTATTAATAAACTAATTTTTAAGAATCCCATATTTTTCAGATGTGAGCCAATCGGCAACAGACTTGTCAAGTAAACGTGACGGCAAACAGGCAGTCAAATATAAAAGTGGCAGTGCAAATGGAAATGCTTCTAACATGATTAATGTTGGGTAATTTATAATACACTACTGTATCTGTTTTATTCTTGTACTGTACTTGCCTAGTTGTGCTTGTAGGAGTTGAGCTTTGGCTCTTTGGTCTCGGCTCTCTACTGTCAATCAACTAGTGTACTGTACAGGTTCCTGTATTGAACGTGGAATGAAACATGTTCTTGCATATCTTATTATTGTCTTCTTTTCAATTCTTAATATTAACCCTTATAACCTGAAGATATAATGGGTCTTAAATTCACTACTGTATTGTAGTTGTGCAGTATTTTTGGATTGCCAGTCATTAGATAATAAAGTACAGGTACTATATACATGAGTCTTTCTAATTTGCATATCTTAAGTCTGCAATAATCCCTAGTCCATACCTTTGGTCTTAAAACAAAAAACAGCTGGGCATTATGTACAATACATAATTAAGGACTTGTAAACCCTGCATATTCTAAATGCACACACAAATAATATACTCACATGAAATGTCCTGTACTCTAAATATTTATTTATATATATTTTTACACTTCATGCATTGCTGTAGTAAACTGCACAGAGGCTACTCACTGCCTCGGGTGAAAGGAAATGTGCCCAAACATTTGTCCTGCCACAGGAATTGAACTCGGGCCCTTCCAACAGGACTCTCTTCCACCATATTTCTTTCCCTCTGTCTCTGCCACTGATTTGAGTACTTACCTATTAGTGACTACAGGGAAGTGAGGTCTAGCCCACTGTGCCCTGCCTGCAACTCTTGTTGTACCTGTTGCATTATAATTGGCCCATATTTACATTAAAGTCCTTTGTCGAATCCGGCCTTAAAGTTGTGGACGGAAGTGGATTCGGTAACTTCCAGTGCATTCCACATGTTGACTACCCTTACAGGGCACAAGTATTCTATATACAGTATTTCTTTGACTTATTTGCGTTTCCAACTTCCATCTGTGCCTTGTCCTATTTTCTCTCAATTTAAGAAAGGCTCGTATTGTTTATTCCCTTCAGCATCTTGTTTGTTGTGCTCATTTCTTCTGTTTCTTCTGTTGTTCAAGTGTAGCTAGTGAATAAAGAGCTGCCTGTGGGTAAATATAGCCAGTAGATAAAGAGCAACCTGTGGGGTCAAATGTTCTGTAAATATTGAAATGAGATATTCCCAATCTAAAAATAGTCTATACTGTTGTCCACAATGGTTCTGGTCCTACCCAGTGCTGATTAGGATTCCTAAAAAGGGTTCTCTAGCTTGGCCCTCTCTCCTTCAATGGAGGTCTTTTGGATTATGTATAGTGACTTGCCTGGTCCCTTTACTAAACCCTATTTATATTTTTGTGATGATTACAGGCCTTTAATATCCCAAGTGAAAATGTGCAATAATACCATGTTGAAATATTTGTAATGATTTTAAATTAAAGTACTGTATATGAACTAGTATTTACAAATAAAATATTATATTTATATTCCAATCTATTGTTTTCATTTTCCAACAGCAAGGAAAAGTTCCGAACAAAACAACCACTGAGCAAAGTGGTTCAGTCTCGATTTAGGACTGCAACTACTACTTTAAGGGACAACAGTGGTGGAAGTAATAGCAGCAGCAGCAGCAATAAATCCAGCAATTCTGGTTATAGTGGGCCAGAAAAGAATGCTCTTAACAGTACTATGGTCACTGGCACATCTAATTCAGGGAGGAAGCCGATTCAGAAGCAAAAACCTGTGAGGTAAGGAAACCATTTCTTTTATTGATAGAATTATAAAATCTAGGTAATTGTTAAGGGTCTGGTCTTGCTAGTTTTTTCTGATAAGAATGAAATGCCAGTAAGTAGTACACTATGTTATGTCTTCATACTATTCTTTAATTTTGGGGACTGCTGAATTACATTTTTCACTTGTTCATATTCTTGCATTTGCTCGTTCACTTGGGCTGGACGGCACAGCGATAGGCTTCCTTTATGTAAGTCGGTGTAAAATCCCCGACTGTCCAAGTGGCTGGACACCATTTCTTTTCCCGTCCCAAATCCTTATCCTGATCCCTTCCAAGTGCTATATACTGTAGTTGTAATGGCTTGGCATTTTCTCCTCATATCTGCCTTCCCCTTTCTTGCACTTGAGTAATTACTTGGCAAAGCACTCTTATCATATTTTTGTTTTAAAGTGAAAACAAGTACAGGGGTACCTTGGTTAAGAGATTAATCCGTTCCTGGAGACAGCTCGTAATCCGAAAACTCGTAAACCGAGGTTAATTTTCCTGTAAAAAATAATGGGAAATGAATTAATTTGTTCCCGACTACCCAAAAACCTCGCTTCAAACTAAATTTTATACCTAATTCATCTAAATCTACACTACAAAACTATGTTCATTTACTATGTTATTATTTATCCTTGCTGATAACTGCTGTTGGCGTATGGAAGATGGTGAAAAAGGGGGAGGAGGAGAGGTGTTACTATTTGGAAGATGAGTCCCCTTCCATTATAACATCGGGAAGTGAGGACCTCTCTGGGGTGCACTCTGGCATGTTTTGCCTGCATACCACTAGGTCCTGGTTGTGGCTCACTTGTTTATTTGTTAACCAATTTCATTCTATCTTCACATAGTTAGGGAAACGTATGCATTCTCCAGGATGTAAAGGTTACAACAAAATCAGATAATAAACAAAGGAGAAAAATAACTAAATTCTTAAGAAAAAAAATTTCCCTCAAAAAATATTTTTGGGACATTGATGAAAGTAACATATATTAACATTGTACTACGTATTTATATAATATATAACAAAATAAAGCATAATAACATAGTTATTCATTATTTTTTGTGTTGTGTGTTACTCAGCACTGCTATGAAGGCACCAACTGCATATCGACTCTGTGGACACTTCTTACTACTATTTTTCTTCTTTGAGTGTCGGACAGGTGCTTGCATCTCTTTATTACTGCATTATCCCTCGGTTCCAATTAATAGCTGTTCTCCTTTTCAACAAAACGTTCTTATTTTTTTTAAATTTGTCTAAAATCAATTTCTGAAAATATTTTGATGAGTTTCATGACACAGAAGCCAATAAGTTGGAGATTTGTTTAATATTTTTAAGTTATTTTTACATAATATGAATATTTTTCGCTTCCTGGTCCTCCCAATATGCGCGGTTTAAGGGTTAATGTGCTGATGTAGCTGCTACAGTGTCAAAGATGTGTGTTACTTTTATGATTACTTATTTTCAGTTATATTATTCAAACACTTCAAAACGGCTTAGCCATTTCGTATTTTTAATAAGGTTTGCACTATAATAAGTGGTGCATTATGGATTCAGCTTAATTTTTTTCTTAGATTAACACAAGTAACAAAACCCAAGGCAACTGGTCCCACTAGTCGGTCATCGAAGTTGCTGAACGTAGCTGGAACAGTAGGTCACACTTCTGGTTTGCAGCAAGGAGCTTTGCCACAAATTAGTCAGAGAGAGGCATGCAAGTATTCAGTGATGTCTCCGATGCAAGCTAGCAATGCCAAATTTCATTCGACTGTTTTAGATGCCACCATGCTGTCAGATGTAACAGGCATAAAGGATTGCGATAATGTCTTCAGGTAAGTTCATATATTTTACTGGTTTAAACTGTTGTACAGTATTTTTAGATGTACTGTATATCACTATCAAGTAACTCCTATTATAGATTTGCTTTGTCCATTTACAAGGCTCATCGTAAACACCTACTGTACATTCAGTGCATCCTCCCAAATTGGGACCTTCCTATAATGTATCTCTCTATACAATAAAACAAATTTGCACATCAGATTTTCCTTCCAAAATTTGCGTTTCTTAAAAATGTCCGAATTCTAGACAGGAACGTATTGAAGTCCAGATCATCAGTTTATCATGTAAAATAATTTCTATCAAATTGTATCTTTTTTAATTTTAAATTAAATAAATTTAACAGGCAGACAGTATGGTTGTCGAACAGGAAGGTCCTGTGTAATAAATCTTAGTTTCTATGGTTCTATGATAAGAACATAAGAATGAAGGTAACTGCAAAAGCAAACGAACGGAAGCTTGGTTTGTCCAGTTTTCACCAGAGCTGTTATAGCTATTAGAGCTATGTTATGTTAGAGCTATTATAGCTGTTCAGCATACTTATGTCAACAAGATGGAAAAACACTTTTTTCATCCACTTCAATGTTTTCTGCACACACTCGACAGTGCCCATCATCATGTCAGATTTATCAACCAAACGCATGTTGATATTATAATCAAGAACACAATCTGGCTTATATACTGGCTCTTGCATTACTCGGTTCACCTTGCCACTATTCACCATTGTACCATCATGAATGGTTGTCAGCATGTTCACTTCTCTCTTGTCTTTCCACCTAACTGAGAGTATTTGATCACATTTTCTTAGCTGGCAGTCACCAACTTCAAGTTTATGGTCAAACACTGGCATTTCCCTTCTTCCTGGCTTTACTGTGCCAACGAATCTGGTTCTATTTTCAATCAAGAACCTAGCTAGCAAGGGACTTGTATAGTAGTTATCTGTGTATAAAATGTGGCCCTTGTTCATCCATGGTGCCATCAGTGACTTCACCACACTACCTGAGAAACCATGTTGGTCGTTACTGGGAATGTCTACATTGCTAGCAGAATACAGAATCATGTGTAACACGTATCCTGTTTCACAGTCACAAAGAACAAAGAATTTAAATCCAAATCTGTTTCGTTTGGAGGGAATATACTGCTTGAAGGCAACACATCCTTTGAAAAGCATAAGGGATTCGTCAATAACCAGCTTCTGTGCGGGTACATAAAAAATCTCTGAACTTTCCAATCACTTTATTCATATAGTGCCTGACTTGCCAAAGTCTATCATCCTCTGTCCGGTTCTCATTACTTGCAAAATGAAGACACCTGAGGAGTCTGAAACCTATCGGGACATATATTTACCAAAGAAAGGTGTTGGAATAGTCTGGTCTTTGCTCCAATAATCAGTGATAGCGTGTTTGACACAATGCTTCAACATACATACATATTGCTAAAAATACATACATTTCACCTATAGTGGTGTTTTTCCAACGCTGCAATCGTGAATATTCTGCCATCTCTTTTCCAATGAGATGAGCCACATGAAGGTTCATTTGGTGTACAATATATTCCATGAGCAGCTCATCATAAAATGCTGTAAAATAATCCATTTCACACATGTCCTCTCCATTATCAGGGAAAAGCTCTGTAATCCCAACGTCTTTATTGTCAAAGGCAGGAATTAGAGGAATAAAATCGTCACCATCACTCCACACAAGTACACCTTTGGCTTGCAGGACTCGCAGAATGTTATCCTCTTTATCATATTTTGTGACTTACAACCTAGTGTACTTATTAGGTTGCTGATGAATTCAGAACTTTTATTAATTTTTAACTCGAGTAGAATGATTAGTTTAATTCTTACATTGTGAATGGAAATTTGTGTAGTGATGTTATTCTCAGCACAACAATGATTGGGGGGTTGGCTCCTGGTAGTAACAAGTTGGATCTTACTGGAGCTGCTCTTCCCGAGCTTCCTGACATATCTGCTATCAAGTTGGATGGTAACAGTAGTAGAAATAGAAGTGGAGATACGACTGTTTTATCATCTGTCAGTGAGAATGATTTATTGGTGAGTTTTGTTTTATTAATTTTTTGTTTAAACTATTGGTAAGAATCAGGTTTCAGGATATCCAATAGATTCAGTGTCTTGGCGGGGCAGGTAATATGGCGGTACCCTCCTTCCCAACTGATGTTTCTTTGACTTACTGCAGTACCCCCTTTGTAGTCTGCTTCCATTTCTTCATCTTCACGGTGTTCTTTCAGTAACTGCTATTTCTAATTCTTATTTTTTCTGTGGGGAGCCCCGTCGGCTCCCTGGAGCTATCGGACTGATATGCAATATATTAGTCTGGGGCATCAGTTAATGGAGTTGCAGCCTACAGGGGACCAAGATCCAGAACCTGGCCCCCTTCAAACAGAGGCAGAACTCCCCCAACACCCAAGGAAACAATCAAAAGTCATGCACTGCCGCCGCATCGCTCGTCTATGCAGCCCTCCCCTCCCTGGGAGGGGGAGGGGGGAGCTCCGGACCCCTGTGCCAGCTACTCGCACCCCAGTTCGTTGGCTGATGCGATCTGGGGCGGTCATCAACTCTGGCCTCGATTTCTTGGGGTTTCGCATACCTTTTTTCTCTAGTGCTTTGCCTCTCGCTCTTCTCCAGTCCATGTCCCGTAACTCCTGGGGGTGTTCTGGATTGCTGTTATGGGGTGGACGCTGGGTTTTCCCTACGTATGGGTGTGGGGCTTCTCCTTCGCCCCCTACCCTTTTCGATTCCTGCTTGTGGGGCTCTGCCTTCTTCCACTGGCGGTGCTCCCGGAATCTTCTCGGCTATGTTGTCGTGACACGTTCGTGCCTACGTTCTGCAGGTGAGTTTATGCGGTCTGGCTTCTCTTTCGGCCAGGAGCTGGTTGGAGATTTTTGGATACGATTATACGAACGTCAGAACACGGGTGCCTGCATCAGGCTTATTGGGCCATACGAGGTGGCTCCTATTTATACCCATCCAGTCCCACACTTAGGCATGTCCAGCCCATGCTCGAGTTTAGATAGGGGCCCTACCTCCACCAGGTTACGAGGTACAATGGTGGGGGTATATATTATGGGGGCAAGTGTTCCTGTCTGGATGTTCTGAGTTTTCATGCTGTGGATGCGTGTTGGGGATTGGTTGTGGGTTTTTGTTTGGCCCTTCAGTGCTTCTTCTTGGGGCCTTCCTTGTTCATCTGGGTTAATGGTTACAAGGGGGTCACTGCCCCATTTTTCGTGGTCTTATCTGGGTCACTTTCCTTTCACATCTTGCAGTGACTGGCTTAGCCCTTCCAAGTACATTGGATTCTCTGTATTGTACTTGCCTTGTTGTACTTCCTTAGTTGTGTTTGCGGGAGTTGAGCTCTGGCTTTTTGGTCCCACTTCTCACCTGTCATAAGCTCCTGTGCAGGTTCCTGGGCCTGCTGGACTCTGTCATACCTGTGCTTGAAGCTGTGTGTGTTGTCATCCTCCACCACATCGCTTCCTCATGTGTTTCACTTATCTACTACTGACACTGCAATACTTCTTTCCTGTGTCTCTTTGGCTCATTTGGGCTCTCCTTCCACCAATGTCTCCCTGGTGCGTGTGCCCCTGGGGTCCCGCAGTCGGTCTTTTTCTCCCTTATCACTTCCTTTGGGAATCTTAAATGTGGTGATCATACCATCGTCGCTCGTATTCCTGGGTTCGGGTACTGGTCTGGTGGCGTACCTTTGCACCTTTGACACATCCTTTGTGTTGGGATGTGTCACACAACTGTGTTGTTGGCGTGACTTATTGGGCCATGACCTGCGGCTCTGTGTTGTTGGTCGTGTCCCGTTCATTGCCGTTTTGCTACTTGCCTTCTTCGTTCCTCGTCTTCCTTCTATGCTCTTGTCCTGGCCGGTGGTGCTGGGGCTTTTCTTCTGGTCTTGTGTTTTTTCATTTTTTCATTTTATCCTACACATGGTTGTATTTTGTTTGTCCCTTTTGGCTCTCCTATTGCCAGGTTTGGATTCCTGGTTTCCTGCCTTACCCGGCCTGTTGGCATTTTCACGGTCTCTCGGTTCCCTTCTCTAGATTCGCGATCTTCTGGCAGGCTTGCGGGCGTTGGGATGTTTTTCTGTATGGCAGACGTTCCTTCTCTTTTGCCGGCTTGCGTTTCCAGCTCTGCTGGCTTAGTGGTCGCACCCGAGATCTACCCGTGGCTCCGCCTTTTCCTAGGCTCGATTGGCCCATGGAGGGCTGGTTCGGTTCTGCCTCGAGTCTCTCACCTTCTGTTGGGTGGCTTCGTTGATGGTGTCCCACCTGCGTGCTTCTTGGCGGCAGTGTGGGGTTTTTGACGGTCCTTCCTTTTCCTTCTGTCCCTTCTTCGGTAGCTGCGTTTAGTGGCGTGGTCTTGTCCTTTCTTTTGGTGGTTTGGGACTGTCATCTTGTCCCATACTGTCGTCTCATATCGTGTGGCACTGGCGGAGCCACTTCAGCTTGCTTTTGGTATTGTTGTTACTTCTGCGCCGTTTCGCAAGCTGTCTCGTGCATTGTTTCCCCTCTGGCCTACTCTTGCACCACCTGAGCCGTCCTGGTCATTGGACAGAGTGCTCTTTTCTTTCTTCTCCTCGATTTGTTGTGGCCCCTTCGGTTCAGGATTGTTCTCCAAGGCTCCTTTTATGTTGCCATTGGCCTCTGTGGGGTCGGGTTGGGAAGCTTCATGCTCTCCTCCGGCACAGGAGTTTCTGCTCTTTTGGTCTTTGTGGTGGTTTTGTTCGTCTGCAGCTGTCTCCTTTTTTCTGGCGAGGAATGAGGCTGCTGCTTTCCGGAAGGGTCCCCTGGGTTGTTGATGCTTGGTTGGTTGGGCTGGGGGTGCATCATGTTTTGTGTCCGGTGGCAGCTGTTTGCCGTCAAATGTGCACCACGGCTTCTGTGTCTGGGGACGCGCTTTGGGTTGATCCGGTTTCCCTTTTTTCCTGTTCGCGGGTGCGGGGTCTCCCTGGTCGTCCAGAGTTCATAAGGCTAGCCAGCCTGTGGTCTATCCCCGAGCCCATGACATTAGCAAGTTCGCTGCTATTGCTGCCGTCTTTGGCACCATGTTCTGGGCTAACATTCGGGCACGGGGCTTTTGGCGGTCGAACAGGGTCCTGGCTGCTCATTTTCCTCGTGCATGTCCCTGGGCCTAATCGGGCCCGTGTTGTTTTGGGTCAGCAGTTGCCGCCAGTTGTCTCAACTTGAGTTATGGAGTGGGCAACGACTGCCTTCCGGGTAAGTCCCAAGTTTTTTCTATAGTTAGGTAGTTAGTTACCTCCGTTAACGTTAGGTAGTTAGCTCCGGGGAGCCGAAGGGGCTCCCCCTAGAAAACCAGCGTTGAATGTAATGAAATGCCATTTTCTGGGCGAGACCCGGAGGCTCCCCGGCATCCCTCCCTCCCCCGGTCGGCGTTTTTTTTTGTGTTTTGACATCCAGCCTCAGAACTGACGGGTGGATAGCCGACGTGAGGGGTCTGGGGGCTCCTCTTTCCTCCTTTCGGGGAGGCGGGGGGGAGCTGCTCAGACAGCGGCGTGGCGACATGTGACATCATGATCGTTTGCTTGTTTCTTATAGGGGAGTTCTATCCACTTGTTCGGCTTTTGTTAGCAATAATTTCACCAGAATAGGGGTTTGTTTTGAGACGCTTACCTTTCTGGGTGCCTGACCCGGTCGATGGCAGACATAGAATGCTTCCAACCACACGGGGGTTTCTATAGGCCATTGCTCTCCTTGCCTCTCTGAGGGAGCCAGGTTCTGGTTCGTGGTCCTTGGTAGGCCCACAGAACTCCATACACATGACTAATGCCAAAGTCTGACATTAGCATATCAGCCTAGTAAGCTCCAGGGAGCCTCCGGGGTCTCACTCAGAAAATGGTGTTTCATTATCTTCAATGCTTTTTTCTTTTTTTTCTTTTTTATATGTACAGTACATTGTTAATGGAAATAGTGTGGAAATTTGCCTATTTTCTCATTGGAAATAAGAAAATTTCAAAATATCACTATCCTGGTTTGAGGTGGGGTAATAATAGCTACTTTTTAGGCATAAACAATTATGAAATAACACTTATTTCCTGGTGGCACCAAAAATTGTTACATTGTATGATAATTTTCTTTTTATATAATTTGACTAATATTTTTAGTAACCTTATGGAAGAATGCATCAAGTTCAGATATAAGAGAACTAGACTTCAAAGATCGAGATTCAGCGAGATCTATAAATGGCATATGGGAGACAGCTTTATCTGTTAACTCAAAAGTGTGCTTAATGAGAAAAACCATATTAGTCTGGGCTTAAAACATTTTAATGTCGGTCATGAACACTGCAGCAATACAACTGATCGTGAATTTGAGTGACTAAGGACACAGCAGACAGGTTTAGTAGATCTGCAGAACATTTCCCCACCCATATTTTTGATCAGTTAGTATTAAATGATAGTACTGTATAAGAATAATTTAATTTAAAAATGTTTGCAAAATGTTGCATGCAGTTAACGCTTATTGTACATAGTGATTTATAAACACTGAATTTATACACAATTCAGCATTTATTTTCCCAATATGATAACTTTTTTAGTGTGTACTAATACAGTGGCACCTCGATTAATGAGCGGCTCTATTTACGAGCATTTCCAGTAACGAGCGAGCCACTCGCAGCAAATTTGTCTCTATTGACGAGCTTCACCTCTATTAATGAGCAAAACCACATGGTGCTTCCTAGCGTCTCGCGGGTTTTCGCAAATTCTCGGACGCCTCCGATGCTAATGTTGTTGTTGTGCCGCACACGACAAGTATCCCTCTGGATTTATTTGAGCTTTTCTCTGGGTTTTTTGTGGTTTTGTGACTGCAATTTGTAACGCACGATGTCGCCAAAGAAGCTGCTTGCTAAAGACAGTGTTGGGAAGGGGAAGAAAGCGACAATTACCGTGGAAGTGAAGAAGGAAATCATAGCAAAGCACGAGCGTAGTGTGAGTGTGATTGATCTCGTCAGGGAGTATGGCAGGTCCTCGTCAACGATTTGTACCATTCTGAAGAGGAAGGAACAATTTAAGACGCTTGAGGTGGCTAAAGGAGTTACCAAGGTTAACAAGAAACGTCCAAAAATCCTAGAAGAGGTTGAAAAGCTACTGCTAGTCTGGATGAATGAAAGGCAATTGCATGGCGATAGTGTCTCTGAAGCTCTTGTCTGTGCAAAGGCCAAGAAGTTGTATGTGGACCTTGTCAGGAAGACACCAGGTGCGTCGAGATATTGAAGATATCATAAGTCGAGAAGATAGTCGAGATATGAAGAGGAGGAGATATTTAAGGCAAGCCGTGGATGGTTTGAGAAATTTAGGAAGAGGAGCGGTATCCACAGTGTTGTGCGACATGGGGAGGCTGCCAGCTCTGATAAAGCTGCTGCTGAGAAATTTGTACCAGAGTTCCAGGAATTTGTTGCTGAAAAGGAGTTCTTGCCCCAACAAGTTTTTAATTGTGACGAGACTGGCCTGTTTTGGAAGAAAATGATGAAGAGGACCTACATCACACAGGAGGAACAATCTTTGCCTGGCCACAAACCGATGAAGGATCGGCTTACTCATGTGCTCTGCACTAATGCAAGTGGAGATTGCAAGGTCAAGCCGCTTGCTTGACTTGACTGTGAGAATATGTGAATATGTGAGGGGATGTGTGCCCTCGATAAAAGCCAAATGTGTATGAATACATTCTGGCTTCCTGTTCCCCGATGCAATGAATTAGAATTATATGATAACTATATTTTAATTTTTCATTACCATATTAATATTTAAACTTGTGTACTATATTTCTGTATATATAATAAATGTTTCTTGATAGCAAAACAGTAGTAGTGGCAATTTGCAAGAGGTGACTGCTGAAGAAATAGAGCAGGAATATTTTAGGGTTCTACAATGGGCCTACATTAATGTCTGCAGTGAAGATGCTTTCAAGATTCAACTAAGAGATGCGCAGGTATGTCTTTAGTTTTGTTTTTTTAGTTTATATTTTCATGTGGTTTACTAAAATATTGTACACAATGCACAAACAGTCATGAGCTTTCTGCAAGATGCTAAAGTAAATTGCTCGGTAACAAAGATGTATCTGCCAACATTTCATTAATAAGAATAAACTGAAGTCAGATTTTGCAGATTTCCTTAAGCTGACCACAAACCATTTTCATTATCATCACACATCCATAACTAAATTTAATATCTCGGAATCTTAGATACTTTGACACAACTGTGCGACACAACTACGGATGTTTTTGTCAATTATTCATGAACTGTACTGTAATTACATAAGTATAACTGCTTAAATAGTCACAGGATGAGAGGTATGTTCATGGTGTCCCATCTTTCTAGTACTCTTATGACGCTTTGAAACTACTGACAGTTTTGGCATCACTTAACTTGTTCCAACCATCTACCACTCTGTTTGTAAAAGTGATCTTCCAAAATTTTGTTTCAGCCCAGAGCTATCTAGGCTGAAATGTATATCATTAGACTTTGGCATCAGTGTGAATGGAGTTCTAGGCCTACCGGGGATCATGAGCCAGAACCTGGCCCCCCTCAGAGAGGCACGAGGAGCAATGGTCTATAGAATTGCACATGGGATTTGGAGCATTCTATGTCTGCCATCGACCCGGCTATGCACCCAGAAAGGTAAGCGCCTCAAAACAAACCCCTATTCTGGGGTTTGTTTTGAGGCGCTTAAACGACTAAAATAGACTAACGAGTGGGCAGAACTCCCAAAATGAAAACGAGCAAATGAGCATGACGTCACACGTGCCGTGCCGCATGTCTGCGCAGCTCCCCCCCCCCCCCTCCCCGGGAGGGGAAAGAGAGAGGTTATCTTGAGGTTATCTTGAGATGATATCGGGGCTTAGTGTCTCCCGCGGCCCGGTCCTCAACCAAGCCTCCTTTTTGTTACACACCCCCAGGAAGCAGCCCGTAGCAGCTGTCTAACTCTCGGGTACAAGTACCTATTTACTGCTAGGTAACAGGGGCATCAGGGTGAAAGAAACTGCCAATTTGTTTCCGCCTTCACTGGGGATCGAACCCGGAACCTCAGGACTACGAATCCGAAGCACTGTCCACTCGGCTGTCAGGCCATCAAAGCCAAAGTGGGAGCCGCAGACACACCGCGCCGGCGATCCACCCTCCAGTTCTTGATATGATATACAGTTCTTGGCTGATGTGATTGTGGCTTGGTCGTGTGACTCCAGCTCCAGATTCTCTGTTGTGCTGTGCCTTGGGTCCAGTACTGCTCTTACGGTGGCGTGCGAGCTGGAAGTATTACTCGCAGGTACTTGGACTGCCTGTGCTTAGGGTTGCCTTCCCCGAGTGCCCTGTAAGTACTGCCCTTGGGGATTGGGGTTATCTTCCCCAAGTCATCTTGGGGGGGGGGGTCTACCTCTATTGGTCTTTTGCTGCTCAGTGTTTGACCGGCCCGAGTGTGTTGGGGGGGGGGGTTCCTTCCTTGTTTACCTTGGGGTAAGTGGTAGTTTTTCACTGGTAGGGGTGCAGGGTACTGCGCAGCTAGTTTTCACCTATAACAGCGGCCGGCTCTGTTCCTCCTGCGTACGCTGTCCTCTTGCAAGGTTTTTCTTTTCATTTTTGTTTCTTCCTGGTGGGGGGGGTCTGTCTTTGTAATTACCTAAGTGTAATTACCTAAGTGTAGTTACAGGATGAGAGCTATGCTCATGGTATCCCATCTCCCCAGCACTGTCATATAATGCTTTGACATTACTGACGGTTTTGGCCTCCACCACCTTCTCACTTAACTTGTTCCAACCGTTTACCACTCTATTTACAAAAGTGAATTTTCAAATATTTCTTCGGCAGCTTTGTTTTGTTAGTTTAAATCTATGAGCTCTTGTTCTTGAAGTTCCGGGTCTCAGGAATTCTTCCCTATCAATTTTATCGATTCCTGTTACTATTTTGAACGTAGTGATCATATCACCTCTTTTTCTTCTATCTTCTAGTTTTTGCATATTTAATGCCTCTAACCTTTCCTCGTAGCTCTTGTCCTTCAGTTCTGGGAGCCACTTGGTGGCATGTCTTTGCACCTTTTCCAGTTTGTTTATGTGCTTCTTAAGATACCTGTATGGGCACCATACAACCGATGCATATTCCAGCTTTGGTCTAACAAAAGTCGTGAACAATTTCTTTAGTATTTCTCCATCCATGTATTTAAAAGCAATTCTGAGGTTAGAAAGTGTAGCATAGGCTCCTCGCACAATGTTCTTAATGTGGTCCTCAGGGGGACAGTTTTCTATCTAGAACCAACCCTAGATCCATTTCTTTGTCAGAATTCTTTAAAGATTTCTCGCATAATTTATAGGTTGTGTGGGGTCTATGTTCTCCAATTCCACATTCCATAACGGCATTTATTCACATTAAATTCCATTTGCCAAGTGGTGCCCCATATACTTACTTTGTCCAGGTCATCTTGAAGGGCATGACAATCATCTAAGTTTCTTATCCTTCTTATTATCTTAGCATCATCAGCAAACATGTTCATATAATTCTGTATACCAACTGGTAGATCATTTATGTAGACAATAAATATCACTGGTGCAAGAACTGAACCCTGTGGTACTCCATTTGACATTTCTCCAGTCCGATACATTGCCTCTGATTACTGCCCTCATTTTTCTATGTCAGAAAATTTCACCATCCATGTATTTAAAAGCAATATCAGCAATATCTGAAATTGGAAAGCATGGCATAGTGCCCATTTTTCCTTTTTCATAGGTAGATAGCCTCAGGGGGCCACAGTGGCTCTCCCCAGAAAACCAGTGTTGAATGTAATGAAATGCCAATTTCTGGGTGATCCCCTGGTGGCGCTCTTACACGCGCTTCTTCCCTCTAGGTTGTTAAGAGGTCAGTTACATTTACTATAGAACTGAGGTTGGGGTACTCGGCTGACTGTGAGCTACCTCTTTCCTCTCCCCCTCCCCCACTATGGTTGGGGAAGCAAATGAGCTTGCAGTAATTTGAAGAGATTTTGATTGTTTAAATTGTTGGTTTTAGAGGATGCAGTCTCTATTCAAGCCAACAGTGGTCTATTTTGCCTTGCCGAGTTTCTGGTTGCTTTCTCAGTGGTGGCGTAAATAGATAGTGGAACCTCGATTTAACAAATGCCATTCGGTGAATCTCTGGTTGGAATGCACACCTTCCAGGCTGGAGATTTACTCACCCAATTTGACGAACAAGAGTTCTTTCTGTAAAGCTTCCTCAATAGTACTGGCCCAACTGGGCTGTGGTGGATATGTAGGCCTTTAGGTAGCTCCCAGCAACAGCCTGTTGAACCAAGCTCTCGCAAGTCAAACCTGGCCCCAGGCTGGGCTTGGGGAGTAGAACAGCCCCCAGAACCCCATCCAGGTACATATGAGTGACTTTACAATGCTATATTTCATCATCATTATCATTATTAACCCTTTTTCTATCTTTCATGAGGTTGGAGATATATCATATATTTTAGTTTATAATAGTTTCTCCATCATTGTCATTAATACCTAATCAATTTATGAAGTATTTGTGCAGTGTTAATTACCCAGCATTTTTTCTATTCACTATAGATTCAGATGATGTTTCTGGAGCAACTAATTGGCGAAAAGCAATTAAAGTTAAGTGATCGAATTCAAATGAAAGATCACCTCCTCCATCAGCAGAGAGTTAGTGAAACTCTCAAAATTCAAAGTGATGTACTGCAGCCTCTAATTGGTTAGTAAGTGTTTGACAGCATAAAATTTCCTTTTATGATATCACATAATATATTAAAATAGGAAACCCACGATGAAAAAACCCAGTGTTTCAGGCCCCTTGTTCATGCACTGATTGGCTGGGGATTTTAGTTCCCCAGCATAAATGCTTCTTTCTTCGGGGATTATTGGTTTTTTACTATCCTGTACCCCTTGTCACTCTTTTGTGTGTTATTCTTTGTAGTGTTTTAACATCAGGGAGCTACTGATGGAGCCTTCCAGAAAATTAGCATTGAATGTAATGAAGTGCCTCTCCTGTGGGTCCTCAGTGGCCTCTTAGCTTCTCCCATCCCTTTTCAGGTGTGTTGGTATGCCTTTGGTTAGCTCTTGACTGAACCTTTAGTACTCTTACTACCATCAGCAGTGATGCCAAGATAGTGTTGCATAAAGTGCCTCAAAAAACGTATTGAATAAAATACAGTTGCCTACTTCAGGAGATTTTATTGAAGTGATAGCACCTATTTATAAGTACAGATGTAAAATGATTGTGTGATATGAAAGTGAATAATCAAGAATTTGATGAGTAGAAATGGAAAGAATGAAAAGCAAGTGGTTTTGTTATGAGAATAGTCCAAGGAATGAAATTGTGCAGAGTGGAATGCATTTTATTATAAATAGAAGTTTATATAATTAAACTTAGGAAGTACAGTAATTAATATTTAGTTCTCTTTCTCAAGATGCTCTACCAGCATGTGAAGAAGCAGAGACAGTATTGAGTCGAGAATTGGAGAAAAGCCTACACCAGGTTAAAGTGGACAATCTCCATGTTCCTGAGAACCATAAAAAGTACAGAGGCAAGTCATTTAAAATATTGGTTTTAAACAGAATTATCAATAATATGTAAAAATACAAATTAGCAAATGGGATGTAATATAAGCTTGCATTTTATACTGCTTTAATTGAAGGTACAGTAAGGTTGCCTTCTTACTTTCCCCTAACAAGGATCGGGAGGTGGGGTGAATGAGACGGCACTAATTTAATGAAGTTTCTATTGTTTGTTTACAGTGTTCGGGTGTAACACCATAAATGCGTTTATTTGATATTTTTCATAAAGCAAGAGTCAAGTCACACAGTATATCGGTGGCGCCAGTTTGTCGGCTCTTGGCAATTAACACTTATCGCGCGCAGAGCGTGTGCGCCGCAGACTTTGACGTTATGCTCCCGGCTGTGCGGTAGAGCATGTGGTGACACAAATGTGTGTGTACTCATTTCAGTTTTCTCACCTTAATTCTTGTGCTGTTTCGTACGTTTTGGTATCATTGTGTTCCCAATAGAATTCCCTACAGGAGTATATGCATATAATGTCCAAAAGCCTGGCAGGACTCCCCACAGCAAAGCCTGAAGTCGGCCCGTGAATGAGCACCAATTGGTACACAGCAACCAAATGTGTATACTCATTCAGTACACTTTCGCGCTCCGGGCATGGCACAGGCACAGCACAGACAATTCTGGAGCCAGAGTCGTACGATCGCAAAGGTCTCGCATCGGCCACAGAACTGAAGGGTGGATAGCTGGCATGGGGGTCAGGGGCTCCCCCTTTCCCCTCCTGAAGAGGCAGACATAGAATGCTTCCAACCACACTGGGGTTTCTATAGGCCGTTGCTCCTCGTGCCTCTCCGAAGGGGGGTGCCAGGATCTGGCTCGTGGTCCCCGGTAGGCCTAGAACTCCATTCGCTTTGATGCCAGGGTTTAATACATTCATATCAACCTGGATAGCTCCGGGGAGCCTCAGGATCTCGCCCAGAAAATGGCGTTTCATTATATTCAACGCTGTTTTTTTTTTTTTTTTTTATACTAGTATGGATGTCCTGTACTTTCATTCTCAGCATTAGGGCAGTCCAAATATTGTAAACTTAATTTTTTTTAAAATTTTCAATCAATTGTAAATTTTTTTCTCAGATCAAATTTTGGAAACCCTTGGCACACAAATCTCCTTGCTGCGTGAACTTGAAAGTTTGGTGGAGCCAGACACTCATCAGTTGAATTCCATCATCTCTGTGTTTGATGAATTGCAGAACAAAATAAAGCATATTCAACAGTAAGTGATAATTCTGAGTGTTTGATTATTAATTTACTATTTATATTGAAAATCAATACAGATTTCAAGCGGTTAATACTTTCACCCTTTAATACTAGCCTCCAAATATGACACCCCCCTAGTGCGCAGGAAATAAATTATCTTGAAAAAATTCTTTTGTTTTTTAAAGTGTCAAAAACCCTGCCCTCGGTATGGGTATGTCAAAAAAATTTCGAAATTGTACTTACTTTGGCTGCTATGGGATCCGTAAGTTGGCGAGTGACGTCATCATTCCCCGTTCGCCTGTGATGTACGCTCCCGGGGCGGGGCGCACGAGTTGCCGCGAATATATTTTCGTGGCGATGTGGTGACGTCATGCTCGTTTGCTCTTTTTGTTTGGGGAGTTCTGTCCACTAGTTTGGCTTTCAGTAGCAATTTCTTAACCAGAATAGGGGGTTTGTTTTAGGGCGCTTGCCTTTCTGGGTACCTGACCCGGTCGATGGCAGACAGAATGCTTCCAACCACATGGAGAGTTTCTATAGGCCATTGCTCCTGGTGGTCCCTGGTATGCCTAAGAACTCCATTCACATGACTGATGCCAAAGTCTAATATAGCAATATCAGCCTGGATAAGCTCTGGGGAGCCTCCGGGTTTCGCCTAGAAAATGGCGTTTCATTACATTAAACGCTTTTTTTTTTTTTTTTTTTTTTTTTTTTTTTTTCACCTCTATTTTCTTAGCTTGAATCTGTGTCTTCTTGTTCATGGAGTTGCTGGTTTCAGGAATTCCTCCTTGTCAATTTGGTCTATTCATGAGAGTATTTTGTAATTGGTGATCATATCACCTCTCTCATCTTCTAGTTTTAGCTTGTTTAGTGCCTCTTAATCTATTCCTCGTAACTCTTGTTTTTCATTTCTTGATGCCATTTTGTAGGATGCTATTCCACCTTTTCCAGTTTATGTAAGTGGGTGGGTGTTGATGTAAAATAATGTAATGCACAAATTTTGAACACAACAATTTTCAGAAATGTGCAAGGTGTCATGTCAATACAGTACTTTTAAGGGTGAATGGCAGAATAGTTTGTCTCAGAGAAAAGCACACTTAAACATGCATGTGATATGACAGCAGTGAAAATACTTACTTGGAGAAATGCTGATCCCATGATACTGTGGTGAAGGGTATGATTGATTGGCAAGTGGATAATGGAAGGCAAGTTACAAGGAAGCAAGTTGGGTCATGAGTACAAAAGGGGAGTATGTATTTGCCGATTACTATACAACATTCAAGAGCGAAATGTAGAGTAACTAAAATGTATCTGGTTAATTATGTTACTGGTGTGGAGTATTACACAAACTAGTGAGATAAATGCTTTATGGTATGATAGTGGGAATAGCATTTGACTTCAAAGGATTTCCAAAAGATTGGTGATCCTGCAGGTTGAAAACTGAACAGGAAGTACCAAAAAAAATAAGGGAACATGATTACAGCTAAAGATGCTATATATGAAAAAGACTAGTGCAGAAGACAGTAGCTAAATAGACAGGTAATGTGAAAACCTTGTTGTACAGCAAGAGGCATGATAGGAAAATTATTTGGGATATTGGGGATTAGGATGGGAGAATGTTAACTGGTATGGAAGAAGTTATTATATTATGACATTGATGTGTGGATATGATGAAATTAAAATATAAATCTGGCAGACTATGGGTGATGTGTAAGCAAGATTAAACACTGGAAAATAATAGAGAACAGAATGGAATGATCATTAAAGTTTCTCTAAAACCTGTTATGTTTGTATAAGGTAACTAAGACATGACTGGCATGTGCTATAAATGAAAATAATTTAATGCCAAAGGTTTTAATTTTATTTTTTTTGCAGGTGTGAATATGATGTACATCAGTTAGCAAGACTTGCTGTGCAGGAAGCATCTTTGCAAATAGGTGCTAGGCAAGTAAACATCTCGGCATTGAATCAAATTTGAAATCGACATCCCGTATAGATTTTGACATATGGTACAGTATTTACAAAATAATTCTGTTTGAGAAGTCCCCCAAATAATGGGACAGAAATCTTGTAGGTATTAAAATGCAATTTAAAGGATCTATAAAGACACTAAACCCTTTGATTTTTTTGTTTTTGTTTTTTAGAGCTATGGAACTTAGTCTTGAGAAGTCCAACTTCTCAATCTGTTGGGTGAAATTTACTGAGAAAGTATCGTGTTAGATGAATAATTACAAAATAAAATCAACCTAATTATAGGAGTAATGGCACTATTAGTAATTTTTATTTTTATGAATTGATACTGTAATTGGTTTTGATTAGATGTGATGTTAAATATATTTGTAATAATTTAGAATAAAGGCCTATAACCTAGTGACCAAATTACAAAAATTACTGAACTGAACATAACTTAAAGGTAAAATTATATTTGTTTTATTATAAACATGGATTACAGTATGTGATTCAAAAGATTATTAAAATGTATTAATATGTGGCATTTTTAAATTATATACCTGTACATATACAAGCATTTTTCTACCTGGATTGTAACTATCTGGATGTGGTTCTAAGGGTTGTTCTACTTCCCAAGGGGCCAAACTTGACTTGTAGAGCTTGGTCTAACAGGCTGTTGCTTGGAACAGCCCGCAGTCCCACGTATCCGATACAGCCTAGTTGGTCTGACACTGTTGCAGAAAACTGTCCAGTTTTTTCTTGAAGACTTCCACTTTCGTTCCGGCAATATATCTTAAACTTGCTGAGAAGATGATGAATAACCGTGGATCTCTGATGTTTATAGTGTTCTGAATGTGCCTACGGTAGCTTTACCCTTCACTAGATCTATTCTGCATTTCCCTCCATATTGTTCACTTCAGTATATTATCTTACTGTGCAAATTTGGGACCTGACCCTCCAGCACCTTTAGTGTATGTATCATTTGATACCACTTTCGTCACCTTTCTAGAAGGTACATTTTGAGAGCTTTGAGACGATCCCAATAATTTAGTATTTTATGTCTGTGTATACTGTGTGTGTTCTCTCTACTCCCTTTATTTCGGCAGTCTGTCATGCTCTGAAGGGAATGGTGACAGCAAGGTGGGACAGCACCAGTGACTTGAATAGTATGAGCATTGAGATGGGATCTGTGGATTTGAAGGTTCTCGTAACCTATCCTATCATTTTTCTAGCTGATGCTATATTTGTTTGGTTATGCTCCTAAACGTTAAGTTGTCAGACATCATTATTCCGAGATTCTTTACATGTTGCTTTCCTACTATGGGCAGATTTAATTGTGCTTTTTACCCTGTGTTTTGTTTAAGGTCTTCATTTCTGGAGGGGATCCCCATCTGCTCCCCGGAGCTATACCAGACAGATATGCTAATGTCAGACTTTGGCATCAGTCATGTGTATGGAGTTCTTAGGGCCTACTGGGGACCACGGCCAGAACCTGGGCCCCCTCAGAGAGCCAAGGGGAGCAATGGCCTATAGAAACCCCCGTGTGGTTGGAAGCATTCTATGTCTGCCTCTCCAGGAGGGGAAAGAGGGCGCCCCAGACCCCCGTGCCGGCTATCCACCCTTCAGTTCTGTCGCTGATGCGAGACTGTTGCGATCGTACGACTCTGGCTCCAGAATTGTCTGTGCTGTGCCTTGTGGTGTTTCTCGCCGGCGCCCGAGATCGAACCCGGGACCATAGGATCATGCGTCCAGTGTTCTGTCCGCTCAGCCACCGGCCCCCTGTAACAAGTGGATTTGGCATCAACAAGTATTTTTGTTGTTCCAATAACATAGACATCTGTTATTTGAGAAATTATTTATCATATTACAGTATATTTTTGGTTTTGTTTAGTTTAGTTTAATTAGGATAATAAAAAGCCATTAAAACACTGATTTTAGAAATGATTTATTAATCTGAAACTTTCAAAGTCATGGGTCACTGAACTATGACGACACAGACGAAGGAAAACCAAGTGAGGTTTACAGTACAGAGTTCCCTTATCTGTCCATCCTCACTCACCTTGTTTCATCACAGAAAATGTCTATAAAGACATTTTACCACATGTAGCTAGCTAATCACGCTTCAGCCTTTAAATTAATTTACAAAGATACGTGTGTCACAAATTGGTGAACGAAAATTATGGACACTTAGTCATTCATTTGTGTGGACCACTCTGGCTGGTGTGATTCATATGGTTGACTTGTTGTGTGGACCATTCTGGCTGGTGTTTGGTTCATATGGTTCACTTGTTGTGTGGTCCACTTAATTGTGTGATCCAACTTGTCTTATGAAGGAATTATTAATTGTAATTGTGATAGAATGAGTTTTCCACAACTCTATGAACTCTGTCCCAACATATTAAGCTTGTGGACCACTTGTGGACCACTCGTGCGGTCCACTTGTGTGATCGAACTTGTCATATGAGGGAATTATTAATTGTAATCTGTGATAGAATGGGAAAGTTTCCCACCGGTCTTTGAACTCTGTCTCGACGACGTAAGCAAATCCGAACATTCCCCGCTTCGGCGAACCATTGTTCATTGAACTGGGTGACTAAATCCAGCCTGAAAAGTGTGTGAACTAGACGGAGAATCGTTGAATCGAGGTTGTACTGTAAAAGATTTTCTTCTTCGCTGACTTTCTGGATATTTTCCTGGCGGATTGTATATTATCACCTGCTGTCTCTGCCTCTGTGAGGAGGCCAAGTTCTGGTGCCAGATTCATGAAGCAGTTACGCAAGTACTTACAGACGTGTACATCTTTCCTCAATCTTTGACGGCTTTGGTTACATTTATTAAACAGTTTACAAGCGTGAAAACTTGCCAATCAACTGTTGTTATTGTTATAAACAGCCTCCTGGTGTTTCGGACCTCATTAACCGTTTAATAATTGTAAACAAAGCCGCCAAAGATTTAGAAAGGATGTACAGGTTCGTAAGTGCTTGCATAACTGCTTCGTAAATCTGGCCCCTGGTTACCAGTAGACCAAACAGAATTCTGCAGCTGTTATGACCTAGTTGTTGAGAGCCATTTCGGCAAGATAACTTCAGGACTTATGTGGAAAGAGGTGTTTCATTATATTCAATGCTGGTTTTACATTATATCCTGTTAGACAATGCTCTCCACTCTGTTCCTTGCTATGCCTCCCATGGCATGTGGAAGTGTGTTTCTTGGTGGAATTTAGACTTGTTAGGCTGTACACTTTAAGCATGCAGCCTGGAAAAGGCACAGAACCCAGAAAACATCTGAATCTCATGTTTTAGAAGGGGATTGCAGTGGCCTTTAAGGCCATCCATACAGTTAAACTGAGTTGGAAATCCTATACACTATCTCTACCATTACTGTTGATACCCCCCCCTCTCCCACATGTATGGAAGATAAGTCATAAGATTTTTGCCATTAAATTTGTTCCAGACATCTTGCCTGTTTTTCATCTCCATGGCTCTGTTGCAGCGGATCCAGTGCTAGTTGTGAATGAATTGGGTTTGCACTTTTAATTCAAAAACTCTATTACTCATCTTCCTGCTTTCCTTACTCATAAAGTCTTCTTGAATCCCATCCTTGGACTTTTGCACATCTTAGTGGAATTGGAGGTCTTCATTCATACTACCTTTGATGTGAATTCCTGTTGTTGTTCCAGTTCTTTTTGACCTGGAGAAGGCTTGACACTACATGGAGATACAATATTTTAACCCAACTGTATACTTTTAACCTTTGTGGCAATCACCCACTTTTTCTTCAAAACTTCTTCTAGCATCATTCATTTCAGTTGAGTGTGCTACATTCTTAAACATTTTTCAACAATATGAAGATGTTCCCGAAGCTACACTACTATTTCTGGTTGCCCTAAATGGCTTCCATTCCTCTTGGCATTACCTCGGCCCTTTCTGTTGACGATCTCACTCTGTTGTAGTGACAGCCACTCTTTCTTCCAATGCAACCTCACGCTCGCTATTGATATCATATCTTCCTGGGCCACAAATCATGGTTACATGTTCCCTACAGCTAAGACTTGCTATGACTTTTACTCTGAGGCATGTCATTCCTTATCCCCTGTTATCAGTCCATGTAATCCCATTATGTATAGTGATGCTGCCAAACTTTTGGTGTTGATTTATGATACCCATTTGTCTTGGTCACCTTCAAGTTGAATAGTCTAAGACCCCTCACCTTAGTTTTATCCCAGATTTCCTGGGGTATGACTCCTCTTTTGTGCTGTCTAAACTCGATTGTGCTGGCCCGGCATATTCCTTGGCCTCTGCTCTGGTGCATTTCATTTATCCCCCACCCAGAGCTTGCATGTTGAAACTGGTGTCCAGTCTTTACAGGATCATCGTAATCATTACTGCCTTCGCTACCTTGCATGGTCCCTTCAACATCCCAATTTCCACTTATGCTGTGCTTTGACCTCTGTTTCCTCTCGCCACATAACTTTTCCCGCAAGGGTGGCTCGTTTGCATGATCCTCCCTCAGTTTACCTTGGCAACATCTCTTCTTGTTCCTACCTTGCCCCCATAGAGGGTCCTGCTTGTGAAATTTTGCAAGACCCTGACCCACATGATGAATGCTGCTATCGTACTAACAATTTTGCAAAAATACATGTGCCGCCTGCCCCTAGAGACTAGCATCTTCACGCTGGAACTTTATGCAATTTTGTATGCTTTGTTAGCTGCATTTTCCGAAGCTACTTTTCTGATCACTGTAGCCGACTTTTGTACTGTCCTCGTGGCTCTGGAGTCTTAGAACTTTGCATCCTGTGGTGGTCAAAGTCCAATACGTTTGACTTGCTGGCTGTTTGACTTCTACTAGATACGAGTCAAATTTTGCTGGGTTCCCAGCTATATTGGAGTTGCCTCAAATAAACTTGTGAACAAAGGAAACAATAAACTAGTGCAAAGGAGGTCATTCATGCTTTCAACAGTTCCTGGAAAGGGATTCCCTATTCAGATTTCTTACCTAGTCATTAATTCTGCAATCCACAACTGTTGGCAGGGTTGAGCTGGCATTACAGGTAACAAACAGCATGTTCTTAAAAGTGACCTTTTTCCCTTGGTCTTCCTTCTACCACCATAACATAGACAGTGGGAAATGACACCAGAACACTTGTTCCTAGATAGAATTCTTGGGGAATCCGATACTTTTGATGTTGCATGCCTTATGTCTTGTGGTATCCCAAGTGATATATAGCACCTTTTGAATATCCGACGACACAGATGGTGCTACATAGTCTTCCTGGTTTAGTGCCACTTCTGATAACTAATTACTTTGTGAACAGTAGAAATTGGTTTGACTGTAATGCATCGTTAGATTTTAGTCATGAAAATGTTATTACAGTAATATTGTGATAACTTGATATACAGTTTTATTTGGTTAATTAATAACAAATATTTTTATATTATTTATTACGAATTGTCACAATTTTTATTATGCATTACAATATTAAGATTTAATACATAATTTATTATCAAGTATCACACTTAAAATCATATACTGTACAG